GCTTCTCCCATGTATGCTCGTGTTGCTGCCCCCACGCATGTGCAGGGTTGATGTGCGAGGTGCTATGGAGCGATTCCTTTCCCGGGCAGGGGCGCATGCCCAGCAAGAGAGGCGTGAGGAAAGGAGTGCTGCTCTTTAATCCTGTTGCTTCTCCCATGTATGCCCGTGTTGGTGCTTCTGTGTGTACCTGGAATCGGTACCCCCACACATGTGCAGGGTTGATGTGCGAGGTGCTGTGGAGCGATCCCTTCCCAGGGCAGGGACGCATGCCCAGCAAGAGAGGCGTGGGCGTGGCCTTTGGCTCCGATGTCACCAAACGGTTCCTGCAAGACAACAAGCTGGGTGCGTGAATATGGGGTAGGAGATGGGCTGGGTGTGTGAGTGGTAGGGCGAGCTGGCTGAGTGCGGTTTGGTGGCGTGGGCGTGGATGTGGCCTTTGGCTCTGATGTCACCAAGCGGTTTTTTCAGGACAACACACCGGGTGCGTGAAAGGGGAGGGGGTAGGAAACAAGCTGGGTGCGTGAGGTTTGGTGGGTGTTGCTATCGGGACCAAACATGTGGGTGTGTGGGGTTTGGTGGGTGTGTGGAGAGACCTGTAGGCGTGGGTGTGGCCTTTGGCTCTGATGTCACCAAGCGGTTTTTTCAGGACAACACACCGGGTGCGTGAAAGGGGAGGGGGTAGGAAACAAGCTGGGTGCGTGAGGTTTGGTGGGTGTTGCTATCGGGACCAAACATGTGGGTGTGTGGGGTTTGGTGGGTGTGTGGAGAGACCTGTAGGCGTGGGTGTGGCCTTTGGCTCTGATGTCACCAAGCGTTTCCTGCAAGACAACAAGCTGGGTGCGTGAGGGGAAGGGGAGGGCAAAGGGGCCGGCTGGGTGTGTGAGTCGGGGACAAGGGAGAATGCTGGGTGAATGTGCTTTGGTGGGATGATTGGTGTTGTGAGAAGCAGATTGTACATATGGTGCTGTTATCAATGCTACATGGGCGGTTGATTGTCCAGTGTAGGAATGTGACAGCCAGTATTGGTTCTATATGTGGCTCTGTGTCTGGCTCTGTGTTGGTTCTGGTTATTTTCCTGACTGGCAGACCTGGTGGTGCGGTCACACGAGGTGAAGGAGGAGGGGTATGAGGAGGAGCACGATGGGCAGCTGATAACGGTGTTCTCAGCTCCCAACTACTGCGACCAGATGGGCAACAAGGGCGCCTTCATCCGCTTCCAAGCGCCCGATCTTAAGCCCACCTTCACCACTTACACCGCCGTGGTGAGTGCTGCTGCTGCTGACATGGTGATGTGTGTGTGGGTATGGGAGGATGAGGGGCAGCTGGTGAAGGTGCTGGTGGGGCTGGTGGTGGCACTGGTAATCTGTGGGTATGGGAGCATGAGGGGCAGGGCAGCTGATAACAGTGTTCTCAGCGCCCAACTACTGCGACCAGATGGGCAACAAGGGCGCCTTCATCCGCTTCCAAGCACCCGATCTTAAGCCCAACTTCACCACTTACACCGCCGTGGTGAGTGCTGCGGGTGCTCGTACTGGTGTTGGGCTTCTGAGGCTCTTTAGTAGCCTTCATCCGCTTCCAAGCGCCCGATCTTAAGCCCAACTTCACCACTTACACCGCCGTGGTGAGTGCTGCTGCTGGGGCTGCTGTTGGTCCTGATGTTGCTGTTGCTGCCTCTGTTGCTGCTGCTGTTACTTTATGTGATGGTGTGGAGACGTTGGCTTTTGTCTTCACCTCCATCACCTCCCCTCCCCACCTCCATCACCTTCCCTCCCCACCTTCATCACCTCCCCTCCCCACCTCCATCACCTCCCCTCCCCACCTCCATCGCCTCTCCTGCGCTTCCTCTCCCCTATCTCCCTGACAGCTCCATCCGAATGTCAGGCCTATGGGTGTGCTTCCAAGTTCTCCTCCTTCCTCTTTTGAGGGCCTCAAAAGCCCACTCTCATCGCTTTTCCCCCTCCTCCGTTGCTCCATCATCAACCCTATACTCCCTGGCAGCCCCACCCGAATGTGCGGCCCATGCATCCAACTTCTCCTCCTTTGTCTGAGGCGCTGCAAGAGTCCACACTGATCTCCTTCCCCACTCTCCCTTTGCTCAATCATCAACCCTATCTCCCTGGCAGCCCCGCCCTTATGTGCGGCCCATGGCGTATGCATCCAACTTCTCATCCTTCTTCTTTAAAACCCTCACTCATCGCCTTCCCCTCGCTCTTCTTCTCTCGTCACCTCAACAACCCTATCTGTCTCCCTGACAGCCCCACCCGAATGTGCGGCCCATGGCGTATGCATCCAACTTCTCCTCGTTCTTCTAGTTATCCCATCCACGTCATGACAAGGTGGGCTGTTGTAACCCTGCCAGTGTACTTGTTTCCAGAGTTTTTCTGCGGTGCAACATGAATGGAATGTGGCAGCAAACGGAAGTAATCGTGTCTGCTTCGTTTGTTCTTTGTGCTTGGTGCGTGTTTGCAGGATTTTGGGCGAGCCAATTCCATGTTGACCCCGCATCTTGCGCATTCAGGTCAACACTTCATTCTTTGTGGATTGTCCTCCACATAGTGCAAATAGCTTTCCACAAAGGAAGTGCTTCTAATCAGGGCCTCCGTTTGTTGTCCACATGTATGGCAAGGATGGTTTTTGAAGCAGGTTAACCAATTTCCGCATACCCGTAAGAACCAGTTGTGACATACCCGGTACCTGTTGTGACATGGTTACAGCAATCCAGGTACCTCATGAACCTAACCTACTGGTACGGTATCACTTACGGTAATCACATCTTCAGCCCTTCAGGCTACAGAGGAATGATGGAATATTTCTCTGGGTTTCAGTTGAGCAGCTGCACCCTTCTTACCGTATATCACATGTGCACCAGGCAAAGCAGGCCGGATTCTTTACACTACGATACGAGGTTGTTACCATTACAACTTATCCTCCCTCATTTCCCACTGCTCTTTAACGGTAAATATTTGTGTGGAAACGGGCTAAGCCATTTCCTAAGAATACACCTTGATATCCAAGTTGTGTCCTAGGTGATGCGTTTTGTTATCCATTCAACAATCCACATGATTTTAGTGCAAATAATCACCCAAAAACTTACTGTACCCACTGTCTATAGAAGGGATTAGTGTGAATTCATGTAAATCCATATGCTAGCTGGTATCTTGTCTAGCATCAAAGTTTTCTAATATAGATCTTGATAGAAGCTGAAAATATGGAACTCACACTGCATCCAGCAAAACTGTTCTTGGCGAAAACCCTTTCCCGATGACCATGCAGCGTCACCGTGACTCTTGCGGACCAGGTTCCTCCATTCCCAGTTTCGTCAGAACAAGTTCCCGCCAAAAACTTTCTCGATGGATTTTTGGTCACCAAACCAGACCCATCTAAATAGAATCTCACCACTTTCCACACTCAGGGAATCTGTGTTCGCTCCTTCGCTCTAATTGCTAGGTTGCGAGAAGTGGTAGGCTTGTTACCGTCTATTCCTTTTGAGATTCCTCTTTTGCAACTTGGTTTTTTTTTCTTCACAGGCAGAATCGCTGAATAACTCTATCACTGAAATGACATCAACAGCGGATGCCAAAGGGTATGAGGAGCAGCTGTTTGCATTATTTTGGGAAGCCCTTCTTTACCACTGTTCGGACAATGACCTGCTTTCTAAGGTTGCCGAAAGAGCCGTTCCGCCTAACGACAACCTGGTGATAAAACAGATGGTCATGCTGCGAACCATGGAGCATTACTTAGAAAAGTACGGAGTTACGGAAAAAGTTCTGCAGATTATCCTGGGGCTTGATAGACTCTGTGATGATGAAGAGTACGTTCGAAGCTGCCAGAAACCCCACCGCAAAGACCGTGTTCGTGGTGTTCCCGCACCTGATAAGAAAATATCTTCTGACGCGGACGGATTGTCAAACGTTCTGGATTATCTCCAGCAAAAGGAGCTCGTGCCACCACCAGGACCGAAAATTGTGCTAGAGGTTATGACAGCCGTTGCGGTTCGGTTTCTTGGCGGGAAACCCTGGGAAGTTGCCCAGTACCATGACGTTTTGGAAAAGGTTTGGTCCGGCGGCGGCGATGAATCAGAATATGATGACGTGGACGCAGCAGCTGTTGGAAAAGAATCAAATCACTTGCAGGAGCTTAAGGCTCGACGGAAGGAGCTGTTGGCTGCTGCGAACGATCAAAGCCTGCAGGATAGGCTCGTACAGAAGTACCCTGTTGCCGAGGCTGCCAAGTTGGTTCGGAAGTACATGGACGATTCGTGGGCTCGGTTCGGGCGACCGTGTTTGGACGCGATCGCAGAGCAAGTGCTTTTAGGGAATGTGTTTATGAGGACGAATGCTGTTTCTGGAGAAGAAAGAGGGAGAAGCAGTGGTGCTGATGGTGGTGGGTTGCATGGTGATGGTGCTGAAACTCCTGCTGGTCCTAGCACTATCAATGGTGCCGGCCTTGCTGGTGGGGTTGAACGTGACACTGAAGCCGGGTGCCCTAAAGGATATGTGACTGTAGCCGCACGTGATCTTACCAGGAGCTGGTTCCCTGAAGGTCTGAACCGAGGTCAGTGCATTATGCCCCTGTCTATTTCATTTCTGACGTCAACCCTTCTGGTCCGTTTCTAGCTTATGTTACTCTTCTTGGGTGCTGATCCTCATCGCTTCTCTGTTTGCCTTCCAGGGGCCCGAGGTTCGTTATACTTTGCCCTTTGCCCCTGTTCGTTTCTCTCCTGACGCCAACTCTTCTGGACCTTTTCCAGCCTGTGATTTTTTACTCTTCGTCCTGATCCTCATCGCTTCTCTGTGTGTCTTCCAGGGGCCCGTCAACAACAGGAACCGAGGGAGGAGAAGCAACAGCAGGAGCAGTCTCAGCGGAAACAGGGGCAGTCACAAGAGCAGCAGGGGCAACAGAAACAGCGGCAGCAGCAGTTTTTCCGAGCAGAGGATGAAGAAGCAGCACCTGGCGCCGCCGCCGCTGCTGCTGGTGCTGTCAATGGTGACACGGAGCAGATGGTTCGTGAGTTGAGAGAGAGCAGTGCGAGACTGAAAGCTGTGGGGCAGGACCCCCTGCCTGGTGCGCTGCGATTGGCCGAGGCTGCCAAAGCTCAGGTTCGGGATAAGGCTCGGAGTAAGGGGGGTCGCGTTAGGAATGGAGGCTTGCGCGAAGGAAGGAAGGAGAGGGTGGATTTGGAACAGGTGAGGGAGGAGGAGGAGGAGGAGGAGGAGGAGGAGGAGGAGGAGGAGGAGGAGGAGGAGGAGGAGGAGGAGGAGGAGGAGGAGGAGGGTGGGGATGAGAGGAGGGTGAGTAAAGCGGGTATGAGGAGGAAGGGGAAGGGAAAGCTGGAAGGAGGGGGAAGGAAAGTAGCTAGTGAGACGGGGCTGGATGTCCTGGGAAGAAGAGAGGGTGAGAGAAGAAGGCGTGGTGAAGATGGGAGAGAGGAGGATGGAGAGGGAAGTGGGGGTGGAAGGAGGAGGAGGATGTTGGACCCTCAACCAACTGCACGCATTCTAGAGGTATGTATGGCACAGCACATGAATTTCCTCGTGGCACCATCCCATGTCCAGTCCCATTCATCATCCACGTTCTATTCTCATGCACCATTCTCATATTCGCGTCTGATGCAATGCAGTGGTCTGATGATGACGGGGGGGAGTTGGAGGAAACGCCAGAGCCAGCTCAACCCCAAGGCCCCAACGACCGGCATGGCCGGACCAGCATGCCCGCCTCAGTGCACCTACGCACGCCCTCCGCCCCCCGCCTCTCCCCTCTCAACCTGCATGGTGGCGCTGCTGCTAGGGGGGGTTCGGGGCAGGGTGTGAGGCGGGGAGGAACTGTGACCCCGACCGGGAAGCTGCGGAGGCGAAAGCGGCCGTTCAGTGCAGAGGAGACAGACACACTCAAGATTGGCGTCATGAGGTGAGGCTTCAGTTGAGATGCAGCTTGTGCTGCCAGGGGTGGTACGGGGCAGGGTGTGAGTCGGGGAGGAACTGTGACCGTAATTGGGAAGCTGAGGAGGCGCAAGCGGCCGTTCAGTGCGGAGGAGACAGACACACTCAAGATTGGCGTCATGAGGTGAGCATGAGGAGAGGTGCAGCTTGAGGTGCCTCCTTGTCTACATGTTTTGATATTGTTGGAAAATCGTCTCAGCATATGCTGTGAGTCCATGGGTGATGTCGTCCTCCTCTGTTGTTCTCCTCGTTTTTCTTTTCCGTGCCTTTCTCTCGCCGGGATGTTGATGTTTTGTTTGTCCCATAACACCTGTCTGTCCCTGGTGCGTGCTATGCATGGCATGGGATGGCATGGCATGGCATGGCATGGCATGGCATTGCATGGCATGGTGTGGCATGGCATGGTGTGGCATGGCATGGCGTGACGTGGCATGGGCATGGCGTGGCGTGGCATGCTATTGCAGGTTTGGCAAGTCATGGAGTGCAATCATGCACGAATACGCCGATGTCTTTGCAAGCAGGACTCAGGCAAGTGACCCATTCCTGTTTGATGTATGACATTCTGTGTGTTCACCCCAAAGCCTGATGATAGCTTAAGGATGGGGTTTCGAACGCAGCGTGTTTGAAGCTAGGGGGGCTGTGCCTTGATTCACCAGGCTCGCCTTGAGAAGCTTAAGGCTTACCATGGATGTGAGACTGTCTAATTCAATGGTTTTCCATAACACGCTGCCATATGACTCATTTGTATATCAATGCTTTTTGTCTGGCGATGAAGCAGTATTTGGTATGTTCGTGTTCTGATCATGTCGCAATGCCATGTATTCTTGCAGGTTGATTTGAAGGACAAGTATCGGAACCTGGAAAGGGCTGGCGAGGTTTAGATAATATGCAATTGCTGGTTAAAACAGGTATATTTCACATTGTGATTTAGTATGTTCAGTCTTTGAATACTAGTGGCGCTGTAGTTTCAACAATGTTTTGTTTGCTGCAAAAAAACATGTCCAAACATAATGATGTGTAAATACTAATTTGCTGTTGTGGAATTTGTTCCACGCGTGAAATGTCTCTGCGCGTCGCTCACGCTATCCAGCCCGCAACTACCTTCAGATAGGAAGTCTGGGCGAAATAATTTGTCGCTTCCCCTCCCTACGTTCCGCATTCAGGTGATCATCGCGCGAACAGCCCGTTACAGTAATCCCATGTTCACAAGGTTTCACCTGAAATCCTACCTGCACGCTCTCTTCACCACACAACTCCCGAACAAGGTCCGCGAGACCGTTGCATCCAGGTTAGGATATCTTCACCTTCTCACTTGTCGTTCATCCGCTCAGGTGGTTTCAGCAACACGATGACCCTTCTCACCCACAATCCCCCCCACCACCCTTGTTCCATGTCCCAACCCTACCCAACGTCGTCTCCTGTCAGGCGGAACGGCAGCAGCAGCTGCAGCAATCCCAGCAGAGACCGAACCTGTTCCGCCGAACCTGTGTCGTCTCTTTTATCTCCACACCCCCCAGCATTCCCAGATGTGTCCAGCACCAGCAGTCAGCTTCTTCTAGCTTCATAGCTCCCATTCTTCTCACCAGCTCAAAACCAAGACAGCTTGCTCATTTTTACATTTCACAGTTAGCAAACCACAACTGGTAGATCCCTAGAGCAAGCTTTTCGAAATGGCGCGTCTGTCCGTCTTAGTGTGCCTTGCCCTCTTCGCCACCGTCGCGTATGCCGAAGTGTGCCCTCAGTTCGTGTGCGGCCCGGGTAACTTCCTCTATGGAAAGTTCACCGACCCTAAGGACCCTTACAAGGAGCCTGCCGATCCCCTGTTCGAGGCTTATTTCACCCCCGGTCAGATGTACAACTACGAGAAGGACAATGTTACCGATGACAAGATTCTCACCCCCCAGCTCGATTGCTACAAGGTCTGCGACTCGTACAACATGAAACTGCCCAGCAACTTCAACTCGGCGAACAAGGCCAAGTACTGGATGTTCGAGGAGACTTGCCTCGAGGGTACCGGCGGTATCTGCACGTGCTACAACAAGCTTCAGTGCAAGGACGACCACAGCTACAGCTCCAAGTGGATGGAGCCCGCGCGCGGCGTCGGCACCGTCGACTACGAGGTTCCCGCCAACTTCACCGTCGGCGAGCTTTGCGACGGCAAGAACAAGGGTGATCCTCACTTCACTGGCGCTGACGGCTCCCACTTCGACTTCTCCGGCAAGCCTAACCGCAACTACGCGCTTATCTCCGACCCGCACTTCCAGCTCAACGGCTTCTTCGGCGGCCGCTACTCCCGCTGGAACGGCGACGTCAAGGCGCTCACCTGGATCCGCTCCGTCGGCATCATGGCCGGCCACCACACGCTCGTCCTCGAGGCGCGCCGCGGCGCGGACGCCGAGTATCTCAACGGCTACCTCGCCCGCGTTGTTGTCGACGGTGTCCCCGTCGAGATCACCGTTCCCGGCACCACCGTGGAGCTCTGGGAGGGCGCTACTCTCCGGTGGGAGGCGGCTCGCGAGCTGAGCGGTACCGATCTCGTTGACGTGTACGATGTCAAGATCGGCAGCGTTGCCACCATCCGCCTGACCCTCAGGCCCGAGGTCAAGAACCTGCGCACCGCCACCGACGGAGCGGTTCACTTCGGTCTGGATGTGCTTTCGTCGTCCTTCTCCAAGGCCGTGCACGGTGTTCTGGGCCAGACCTTCCGCCCCGACTTCTCTGGCCGACTGTAAGCCCGCTCATCTTTGGCCCCGCGCTTAGCTTTCTCTCGGTTTCTTGCAGGGTCTTCGATTGCATTTTTTGTTCCTCGTTTTTCCCCCTGGGATTTATTCTCACGGTTTCCCTGTCTTTCTGGGTGTATTTTTTGCAGTGCTCAGCAGAAGCTGCAGTGGAGCGACCTCCTCGGTGTGATGGTTGTTCCCGGCGACAACGCCGAGGGTTTCATCGACGGCGGCATGGATGACTACGAGGTGTCGGACCTGCTCAAGAACGACTGCAAGTTCTGCCGCTTCCAGCGCGCCGAGTCGATCGACGATGAGATGTCGATCGCCATGAACATGATGGGCTCGGCTGTCGGCGGTGGCCTCCCCGCTGCCCCCCGCAAGTTCCTCGACACTTACTAAATGATTTACTCGGTGTAATACGGTGTACTCTTGTTTAGCTATTTCGGCTGGAGTGATTCTCCGTTGCTGTACTATAGGGATAATGTGGCGGATGTGTAATGACCCGCCGGATATTGTGGATTCCAGTTGTTCCAGATTTATTTCAATTCAATCAATTTCGTTGTTTTAAATCGATATTGAAACATTTTTGTAGAAAGTGTTCAGGACTGATATTTAAATTGATATCAAGACTGCTCAGGAAGATAGACTGGTATAGTAATATGCTGCACCTAAGAACTAAGTGTCTTCAATGTGCAAATGCTGTGCATATATTCAAGCAACCAGCGCCTTGAACCTTTGTGTGCTTGATACTGACCGTCGGAATGGTGTAGTGCGGATTTGAAGGGCGCGAAGGGGTGGTTTACTTGGTGGCAATAGGGAGACAGGGTGCATTCCTGAAGCGCATCACAAAAGCCTCTCGTCTCAAACGACGAGATACAGGGTGGTGGAAATGTTCAATTCTTAGGTGTAATGCGGTGCAGAATGGTACACTAGTTTTATGACAGCTTTGTGACACTTGTGTCTATACAGGAATGTACTCTCAGTGAAGGAGGGGAGGGGGCAAACGGGGTGTTATGATCTGTGGCAGGTTCAAGGGTTATGGAAATGACTGGCTGGTTACAAATGACTCAAGTGACTTGCTGTGAGCCGGGGTGTCAGGGGTTTGAGGGTGCTATGCTGGGGTGGGGTGTGAAGTTAAAAGTGTGCGGATCATAGGGGAGTTTAGGAGCCCCAGAATTGGAAAGAGTAGTCTCTGTCCTACCTCGACAAGTTGACATGCATGTAAGGCATAAACACCTGGTTGCTGTGGCTCGGTAAACCGAGCCACGGAACCACTTTTCTCCGCGTTCCTGGTACATCGGACCAACCCCCAACCCACGCAAGGTGTTGGAATGTCTTGGTACCTAGTTTGCTGGTTTTAATTTGCTCTGGTAAAGGTTTCTGCATGACGCATTGAAAGAAGCGTCATGGCATGAAATCGTTTTACGGTATAGCTTAGAACCTGCAGGCTAATAAGTTCACCTCTAAAAAGGTTGGTTGGGGCGAAGTATGCAAGGGTGTCAGGTTCACACTCAACAGAAGTGATTTGGGCTTTCTTGGTCTGCTAGTTTTAAATATCATAAGGCCCTTATCATCATGCTATGTCGAGTGTTGTTCATTGATCTTGCGGGGTTTTCCATGTTACAGTACAGTACATCGGTTCGTATGCGGATTGGGTGCTTGTTTGGTTCTGTTTTTCCAGGCTGGCATTTCGACATGTTTTGTCCCCTTCCCTGTCATTTGCCCGCAGAAACGCCAGGACAAATCACGAGCAAGACAATCATTCGCGTGTAACTCCGAAAAAAACCTTCACGCCAGCCTGGAATATATCTGGCCGTTGAGTACGACGAAGTTCGCTTACCGTCCAGGGCTGTCGATTGGTTCCAGGCCAACACTTGAGGGTCTGACGTCCCCGGATTTCAGCCCTGAAATTCCAGGGAAGTGGCCTTTCCAGACCCTTTAAGCGTCCGGGAAAGCCCTCAACTCAAAACTTGAATTCAGGGCTGCACTTCAAAATTCAGGGTGTAAGGTATCCCTTTATCACGTAAACTATTGAAGCCACTATCATTTTGAAACTACTAAGTGGGGAGCAGAGCAATTAGTCAGCCAGTCGGTAACATCTCTGACGAATCACGCGAGTGTGCTCTCTAACTTGGAAGCAAAAGAATCTTTTTTTTGCCGGGTTGGAATGGGATGGAAGGGACACGAGGTGGAGGGAGGGGGGGGTGGGGGGGAGATGAGAAGAGCAGGGAACGCTTCCGGGAAGGGCCCGGAACTTCTGTAAGAATCAGGGGAAGGCCCTACCCACGCCTGTTAGAATTCAGGGCTGTACAGAAACTCAACCCTGAGAATTCGGAACCTGGAACAAAGTCAGACCTTAATGTTCAGGGCATTAAGGCCATATGCCCTTGAATCGACAGCTCTGTTACCGTCATTTCCATGTGCCAGGAAGTCGTCGCAGGTTATCCAATCGCAGACGAAACTGGTTACTCTTCTCCATCCGGTTTCGCAAACTCCCTTTGAGGGAGGTGGGGGGGAGGGGGGGGTGGGGGCGGGCGGAGGCCTGTCGCACGGTCACTGTGCGAGCGACAGTGACTCGCCTCAGGCTCGCTTGTCGGTGACTCGAGTGTGGCATCACTGGAATGGCCTGGCGGATGGCTGGCCTGGGAAAAGGGAGGGAGAAGGCAAGCACCATACCCAGCGCGCACCTTCCGGTACAGTATGGTGCCAAACCAAACCAAGGAATGAGGTTGGTGAAGCACCAACTTCAATGGAATCTTTCGGCTTGGGGTTCCGCTGTTCGCGATGGGTGGCTGTATTATTTGGCTCGGTCAGCCTCGGAGGTGTTGACCTGCCTTCCTCACCTCGTCCCTAACCCTTTGCGCCCTCCAAAGCCAGTTTCAACACTGGTTCGGCACTGCTTTGATACTGGCTCGGCTCGGGATACAACCGAGGCATCCAAGGCAGCTCTTACTGTGCAATGGCCGATGCCTGTCGTGCCTTTGCATAACTCATGGCTGCCTGCTTTCTTTGCTCCACTCGCCTGACTCATTTTCAGCAACTACCTGGGGCTGAGCATTATGATGCTTGCTTATTCTTGCGTCAACACCATGTCGCCCGCTCAACTGTCTCTTGTCCGGTAGCGACCGTCATTATCCATCTTAGTCCACACAGCTTCACCAGAAGCGCACGTCGACGGTTTGTAGTGCGTGATACGTGGAAACAGATTGGCAATGCTTGTTAGGTTTTGTGATAAAATAGGCATTTGTTTCCAAAGCACGACATCTAGAAACATGTGTTAACTCAAACTAAACTACATAGTGCGTTTGCCTCCAGTTTCCGATTCATTAGGTCAGTGCATTCAGCTGTAATCGTTTGGTTACCGCCATTGTATTCCCTTTCGACGTTCTTTCGTCGTGTTCATCCAATTGGGTCTTGCTAATCATGTTCTCCCTTGAAAGCGACGACGACGAAGACAGCGACAATTAGGATGACCCTTACCAGCTCGTTCAAAGGACAGACTCGTACATTGCAAGAACAGACCTAGAGTTCGACACGCTTGTTCGTTTCACTCGCTCCTCACACGTCGCACTCCACTTTCGCCAGTTCCATGGCTGCCGTCCCGTCTTCCCCTCTGTCTGGTCCAAGCAACAGCTGGCAGAGCCGAGCCTCTGCAGCTGCGTCCGGAGCGTCCGAAGCTGAGACGAGAGAGGCACAAGTAGCAGCAGAGGCAGCAGAAGCAGTACTGGCAGACACCGTGACAGCAACCCTAGCGGCAACACCCACCGTAGCTGCTCCGTCTGTTCGTGACCCCGCAGCCAGTGGTGCCGGCTCTTGCGCAGGATTAGGGTTCGCTTCCGCCAATCCCCCCCGACCAACCACTGCTGCGGCTAGGTGCTTAGATGCGCCGTCTGGACCCGCCTTGACAGGGCCCGCACCTCGGTCTTTTGATTTGCCACCTAGACCTACAGGTGATCCCGGAACAGCTACCGGGATTCAAGGAGCGTCGTCGGATGCGGCCTCGGGATCGCATCGTACGGCGGGGGAGTCCGCAGGAAGATCTGTCACCCGCCGATCCTTCTTCCCCCGATCGTCGTCGGAGAAAGGCGTTGCTACTGCGCGCTTGCCCCCGCTGGGACCATGGGGGAGCGCCGGCGGAGGGCATGGGGGGAGTCAAGGGGGAACCACGTCGTCTTCCCCCTGCGCGTCCGCCAGTTCCAGTCATCCGGAGGAGCTACAAGATCCCCCCGAGTCCGCTTCCGCCTCCGTCGGCGTGCACAGCGCGGGAACCGGAGCCAGCGCAGGCCTTGTCCGGCATGCCAGGGATACCAGTCTTTCCGCCGGGATTGCCGATACCAGGGGCGGAGTGGGCGTTTCCCCCCGCACCTCCGCTTCCCCCTTCTCCTCCTCCTCCCCCTTGCGCCCCCTCCGGCGCACTCCCAGCCCGAACTTTTTCTTCTTCCGCCGATCGTTGGGCGGAGACGAGAGCATTTCCGCTTCCATCTCTTCCGCCGACGCGGAAGCGCAGGGGGAGGGGGAACGTGTAGGGGAAGGGGAAGGGAACTCTCCCGTGTTTAGCGGGTGCTCTGGGCGCAGAGGGGTAGGCATCGGGTCATGGGGGGGGAGCGGGGACTGCGCCGATAGCGGGAGGGGGCTGTTTGGGCTGATCGGAAGCGGGGGAGTGGGGCTCGGCGCAGGCACAGGCGCAGGCGCGGGCGCGGGCGCTGATGGAAGCGGGGGCATGGGGATTGGGGGATTGAGACGGCTGAGTAGGACCACGTCAGCGCCAGCGTGGAACATTCAGCAGGCGCTGCGTCAGGTAGAGGAGGAGGGAGGAGGTGATAGTAGCGAGGGGAAGAAGCAGCACAGGCGGAGAAGGAGCGGCAGGCGGACTAGCAGCGGGAGCGTGGGGTCCGGGGAAGCATTTGGGGGCGCTGCTGCTGATGGTGGCGTTGGTGGTAGTGCGGGTGAGGGGCGGGGCGAGGAGCAGAGGGGGAGGGCGGAAACGGGGGAGGCGGAAGAAGCGGAGGAGGCGGAGGGAGAGGAGGGGGGAGGGGAAGAGGGGGAGGGGGAGTCGGAGGGCGCGGGAGTTGGCCACTCCATGGAAATCCCGCGGTCAGAGTCAGAACCGGTGGGAAAACCTCGGTCAGGGCTGGAGGCGGTTGGGAAGATGTCAATTTTTAAGATGATGAAGCAGAGGAAGGCTGGAAAGGACCAGAAGCAGCAGATGCAGCAACAGCATAATTTGCAAGAGCAGGAGGAGGAGAAGGAGGAGCAGGAGGAGGAAGAGGGGCAGCAGGCGGGGCAGCAGCAGCAGTGGCAGATGCTGGGGCGGCACCAGAAGAAGCAGAAGGAGCAGGAGCGAGGCGGGCGGCTGTTTTCTGGCAGTCCGCTGAAGCAATTTGGACCGTTGATGCACTCTAGTAGCCCGCTGAGGCAATCCAGTCCGTCGATGCACTCTGGGAGTCCCCTGATGCAATCCAGTCCGTTGAGGTACCACCACTCCCAGTCAGAATCGAGTATAGATGAAAGGGAGGAGGGAGAGGAGGGAGAGGAGGGTACTGAGGGGACGGAGGGGACCGATGGGGAGGAGTCAGAAGGCATAGGAGGGAGTGAGGATGGGTTGAGTGGAGGGGATGGGTGGCAGCGGCGGCAGCAGCAGCAGCAGCGACGGAGAATGAGAGCCGAGCAACTGTATGTAGAGATTCCCCCCGAAGGGGGAGGGGGAGCGGATGATCTCCCCCTCCCCACGCCTAGCGACGGCGGAAGCAGCAGCACGCGCAGCGTAGGCGGGGGAAGCGGGTTCCGCGGGCTTGGGGGGTTCGGGGGATCAGGGGGAGCGGGTGGGGGGGGAGCTGCGGGGGCAGAACGGCCCACGGGGACCCCGCCCTTGCCGAAATATGCTTCCCCCCGGCGCAGGAAGATCACTGTAAAGGGGATGCCGAGTCCTAGGCGGAAAGAAGGCACTGGCGCAGCGGGAGGCGCGGGGGGGGGGGGGAAGGGCGGAAGCAGCGCGCGCATGCTGTCCCGGATGTTGCACGGGGCGGGGGCAGGGGGGTTGTTCGGGGGAAAGGGCGGAGGTGCGGGGGAGGGAGGCGGAGGAGCAGGGGGGGGCAAAGGCGGGGATCAAAACAGCCAAAAACTAGTCATAGAAGGTCCGGATAGGTTTAATTTGCTGCTGCTAGAGGAAGGGGAGTACTATTTTAAGGACTATGCGTGTGATTATTACCCTAATGGTGGCACGCAGCGGGTGCCGGGGCACCTGAAGCTGTGCAGTGCGTCGATATTCTTTGTGCCCAAGAGCACTCTCGAGCCCGTCTTCCGCATTCCCTTCGGCTGCGTGTCGGCTGTTGACAGGTGGGTGTGGGCACCGGGCATGGCATGTGTGAGGGTCTGAGTGTATGTGAGTGCAGGTGTGGATAAAAACGCGGGTTTTGGGGCACCTGAAGCTGTGCAGTGCGTCAATATTCTTTGTGCCCAAGAGCACTCTGGAGCGTGTGTGGGCATGTGTGTGGTTCGGCGTGCATGTGGGTGGTTCGGTATGCATGTGGGTGTGTAGTTCAACACAACCTCTCTTCTCCCTCTCTCCCCTCCCCCGCCTCCCACTACTCCCGTCTCTCCCTCCTCCCGTTCCCTTCACGGATCGCCCCTCCCCCCTCCGCAACCCCCCCTCCCCTCGCACCTACCACCACCCACACACAGGGCGTCGCACATGGGGGGGGAGAAGGGCGAGGATTTTTTTATAATCTGTGCGAGTGAGCGCACAGACGTGAAGGTGGGCAACCGCCACGCGCCCTACCGCCACCACCGCGGCGACTTTGCCTTTGCCTTTGCGCTGCACCCTCCTTCCCAAAATCAACACCAACACCTCTTATCCCGCTCTTCCCATTCCCGTCCCCCCCTCCTACTGTTCCCTTCCCGGACCCCTCCCTCTCTCCCTCTCCCCTCCTTCCCCCAGAGCGTCGCACATGGGGGGGGAGAAGGGCGAGGAGTTTTTGATAATCTGTGCGAGTGAGCGCACAGACGTGAAGGTGGGCAACCGCCACGCGCCCTACCGCCACCACCGCGGCGACTTTGCCTTTGCGTTTGCGCTGCTGTACACGTCGCTGGCGGCGGTGCTACCGCGCGTGTCTGCTCTGCTTGACATCGCGCAGGGGCCCTCTTGGGAGCAGCCGGGCAAGCTCAGTGCGATCGTGCAGGAGCACGAGCAGGAGGTGAGGGGAGAGGGGAGGGAGTGAGTGAGGGAGGGGGTGAGCGAGTGCGCGACTCTGTAGTGATGCTGCCGCGCGTGTCTGCTCTGCTTGACATCGCGCAGGGGCCCTCGTGGGAGCAGCCGGGCAAGCTGAGCGCTATTGTGCAGGAGCACGAGCAGGAGGTGAGGATGGGGGGAAGGGAAAGGGGGAGTGAGTGAGGGAGGGAGTGAGTGAGTCTGTATGCGGCTGAAAGGCCGCCACCACAGGGGTCGTCGTGGGAGCAGCCGGGCAAGCTGAGTGCTTCTGTGCAAGAGCACGAGTAGGAGGTGCGGGCTGCGGGAAAGAGTGGGGGAGTGGGGGAGGGAAGGAGTGAGGGAGTGTGGGAGGGAGTGAGGAACCGTGTGAGGGAGTAAGGGAGGGAGGGAGTGACTCTGTGCGGGCGGTGGCGGTGCTGGTCTCCACCCTTACCCACCTTCTGTTCGCTCCCCATGCACATTCTCTCCTGCTCCCCTCCCCTCCACCCCACCAGGTGCGCTTCAACCCGGGGTGGCTGGAGGAGGGGAACGACAGGGTGGTGGCAGAGCTGGTGCCCTCTTTACTCCCCAACCACCTTATCTCTTCGCCCACCCACCCATCTCCTTCCCTCTCCCCTCCCTTCCCCTTCCCACCACCAGGTGCGGTTCAACCCGGGGTGGTTGGAGGAGGGGGACGACAGGGTGGTGGCAGAGCTGGTGGGGTCGCAGATGCTGCCGCTTGTGCTGCAGCCGGGTCGCATCATCCTCACGCCCTACAGCGTCTACTTCCAACCCTTCAATGTTGTGTCTTCTGTGCCTGTCGTGCGGAATCCTTTGAGAACGGTCACGGCTGTCATGCGCCGATCGACGCACCTCCAAGAGGTGAGAGAGCGCGTTTCAGAATTCTCAAGAGCTTGGTGGGTGCTCCCATCAATCAGGGTAATTCCACTTTCCGAGCTTTCCGCATCTGGGGTGATCTATATGTTCTTACCTAGTTATTCTCCCCTCCCCCCCTTTTCCCCCCTTCCTTTCGCCCATCGCGGCCATCTCTCCTGCATCCCCATCTCCCTGAATTCCACCCATCTCCACCCATCTCCACTCCACCATCTCGCCCATGCAGATCGGAGTGGAGATTTTCTATTCACAATGGTCCAGGTAACTCCTTCCCCTCCCTCCCCGTGCCCGCTCGTTCTCCCTTCTTCTGTGCTCCTCTCCTCCGTGTGTCTGTTTCTCCACACACCCTCCCACCGCACACTGCCCCCTGGTTCCGCCCCCGTCCGCATTATCGCCGTCTGTACTGCCCACCCCCTCTATGCTTCTCTTCTCTTCTCCATTGTTGCGGACTGTACCATCCACCCTCTCCTTCCTCCGCCTCCTCTTCTCGCAGCATCTACTTCACGTTCAAGTCAACGCAGGACTGCTCCCGCTTCTACTCGCTGCTGCTGCAGCAGGTGAGACTGTGAGGGCCCTGCTTATGTTCTGAGACGCCCCGAGACGCAAGCATTCTGGTCGTGCCTCGGCGAGGGTGACTCGTTACTAGACTCCATTGCCATTGCCAGGCCCCCGAACTGTTCCGAGTTCCGATCACTGCTGTTTCGGGATAACTCACTTGAGAGTCCCCTCCCACCCACTATTTTCTTCTCTCCTGGAAAAAATGTTGAGGCGCCTTGAGACCCCCCTCCCTCCCTTCCTACCCCTTTTCTTCTCTCCCCTCTCATCCCTCCTCTCCCACATCCCCCCAGCCCGGGCTATCGATAGAGAGCATGCGCAGTCGGGACAAGTGGGTGAGGGACTGGGTGAGTGGCGCCATCTCCAACTTCGACTACCTCATGTACCTCAACCGCGAGGCCAACCGCTCCTTCAACGACCTCTCGCAATACCCCGTCTTTCCCTGGGTTATTGCGGATTATACCTCCAAGTACGTGCGTGTGGGTTCGCTTTTTTTGTTTCCCCTGCGAGAGTGACAGCCCATTCACTTCCCCCCTTCCTCTTCCGCTTCTCTTCCCCCCCTTTCCTGCCCCCCTCCACCTTCCCCTCCCCTCTCGCTCTTCTCATCTGTCTCCTGTCTCCTGCTCTTCCACACACGTGCTTCTGCTCGCCCCCATTGTGCTTCCACACGTGCTTCCATCTCTCATTTTGAATCCCTCCCCTCCCTCTCGCATCGCCTGTGTTTTATAACTCGCTTTTCCATGCATCCAGTCATCCCATCTCACGTATCTCGCCCCTCCCCCCCCTCTCGCCCCTCCCCCCATTTCGCCCCTCCCTCTCCCCATCCCCCTTCCCCTTCCCCTCCCCCTCCCGCTCCCTCCTCCTCCCCGTCCTCCTCCCGCCCCATCCCTCCCTCTCCCCCTCTCCCGCCCCATCCCTCCCTCTCCCCCTTCGAGCACAATTTCTCCTGTTTTCTTGCTCTTCCTCGCACACGATTCACACATCTTTCGGTTGTAAACCCCTCCCCTCGCACACACATCTTGTGTGTTTCAGTACCTGCTCTTCACACATCCCTCCATCTCTTCCCTACCCCCATCTCTCCCCTCCCCACCATCTCTCCCCTCTCCCACCAATCGTCCTTCCTCCTGTCCCATGCCCTGTTGTGCATGCCCTTTTGCTCCAGGGAACTGGATCTCAACTCTCCAGCCACCTTTCGAGACTTGCGCAAGGTGAGAGGTGGGGCAGGGGAGAGGTAGGGCAGGGGAGGGGTAGGGCAGGGGAGGGGTAGGACAGGGGAGGGGTGGGGCAGGGGTTTGTGGAGCAGGGGAGGGGTGGGGCAGGGGAGGGGTGGGGCAGGGGAGAGCTGGGGTAAGGAAGAGCTGGGGCAGGGGAGGGCTGAGCTTCACCGCGTTGAACCACCTTTCACCGTTATGAATCCGCTGACACTCCTTTCCACATCCCTTTCCACCCCACTGTCAGCCTGTTGGCACCCTCAATCCCGACCGCTTGGAGAAGTTTTGGCAGCGCTACTACGACCTGGCAGAACTTTCTGAACCGCCTTTCACCCATCTGAGTCCTCTTACACCCCTTGGCACACCCCTTTCTACCTGACTCATTGTCAGCCTGTGGGAGCCTTGAATCCGGACCGCCTGGAGAAATTCTGCCAGCGCTACGACGGCCTGGCAGAGCTCTGTGAACCGCCTTTCACCCCCTTCAAACCCTGTTCACCTTTCTGAACCCCCATTCCCTTTTCAGCCCGTGGGAGCCCTCAATCCCGAGCGCCTGGAGAAATTCCGGCAGCGCTACGACGACCTAGCAGAGCTGTACGAGGAGTGGGCGGGAAACTTCCCGGAAGGCGAGGTGCCGCCGCACGTGCCGGGCACGCCATCCCCCGCGTTCCTGTACGGGTGCCACTACTCAACGCCCGGCTACGTGGTGTATGTGCGCGTGCGCGACGCCCCCCAGCTCATGCTAAGGCTGCAGAACGGAAGATTTGACATGCCCGACCGACTTTTGTCTTCCATCCCCGAGGTCAGTAGGGGGTTGGGCGGAGGGAGGGGAAGGGAAGGGAGAAAACAGGGGAAAGAGGGGAAGCGGGAGTGGGTTTTGAGGCTTGTGGGGGGAAATGTGGGTGCACGTGCCTTGGGAGTGCCGTCCCCGTCCCCCGCGTTCCTGTACGGGTGCCACTACTCTACGCCCGGCTACGTGGTGTATGTGCGCGTGCGCGACGCCCCCCAGCTCATGCTGCGCCTGCAGAACGGCCGATTCGACATGCCCGACCGCCTCCTGTCCTCCATTCCTGAGGTAAGAGAAGTGGGGCGGAGTGCTGGGGGGCAGGGGGGCACGGGGCAGCTTGCGTGGGTGCTGCGTGTGGGGAGGAGGGTGCTGGCAGGGGCGCTGCTGGGAGGGGCGGGGGGCAAGGAGGGTGTGGGGCAGGGAAGGGAGGGGAAGGGGAGGGGTGGAAGTGGGGCAGATGTAAGGGGGGTGATCCGGGATGGGATGTGCGGAGAGGGCATGAAGCAACCCATCTGACCTCAAAAGCTAAGCTTGCTCTTTTCTGTTTGTGACTGCTGTGCATGTGGGTGTGAATGTGTGGGAAATGTTGTGGGGAAATGTGTGGGAAATGTGTGGGAAATGTGTGGGAAATGTGTGGGAAATGTGTGGGAAATGTGTGGGAAATGTGTGGGAAATGTGTGGGAAATGTGTGGGAAATGTGTGGTGAACATGTGTGGCGGTGTGTGGATGTGTGTGCATGTGTATGCATCTTCCCCCTCCTGGCATGGCATGTCTCTATGATCAGATGTGGGAGGGGGCGTACAACAACCCATCAGACCTCAAGGAGCTTATTCCAGTGAGCACACTTCCACTGTCGCTGGCACCATGCCTGTCTGTGCCTGCACCATGCCCGTCTGTGTCGCCACCATGCCAATCCACAGCAGATATATTCTCTCTCCACATCCTTCCTGCTCAACTCACAGGGCTTGGGCTTAGTTCCTGGGATTCACGCAGACCGGCTTTTGAGTTGACTATATTTGTGCTCTCCCCCCACCCTCCCTCCCCATGCCACAGGAGTTCTACTCTCTCTCCACGTCCTCCCTGCTCAACTCGCAAGGCCTGGACCTAGGAGTCAAGCAGGACGGGGTGCCGGTGGGGGACGTGGTGCTGCCGCCCTGGACCACTGATGCCCAACTTTCCCCCTGCTCCCCTCCTCCTCCCCTCCTCCTCCCCTCCCATCCCCCTCCCATCCCCCTCCCATCCCCGCCCCATCCCCATACCACAGGAGTTCTACTCTCTCTCCACGTCCTCCCTGCCCAACTCCCAAGGACTGGACCTAGGAGTCAAGCAGGACGGGGTGCCGGTGGGGCTATGTGACGGAAGACGCAAGACGCGTCTTGCGTCTAGCGTCTAGACGCAGCGTCTAGACGCTAGATGCTAGACGCACGTTTAGACGCTAGACGCATGGGGGAAATAAATTTCGGTCAGCCCGAAAAAAAAATCGCGCGCGCGAAATTTCAACCCCTCCCACCCATTTCGACCTTGATAATATCCCCCAAACCTAGCTGTTAGCCCCACCCCCCATAATAGTATCAGCAGCTAGGACTAAAGTGCTGCACGCCTCTGCTCTACAATGAGCCGGCCAAATAAAGACGTTTTAGAAGAAGCATCGGAGGAGGTGCGAGAGAAATTGAGAAACGGAAAGCTAAGTCGAAATTGGAATTTGTCCCCCGCAGCCAACAGACAGATTTGTGAACCATTTCGTGACCAACAAATTCCCCCTCCCATTACCGATCTTCACCGCACTGAATCTAGAAAACCCAACCAATTTGAGATATGAGATTGTGAACGTCAATGTTAGATCTAGAAGTTCTACATCTCGATGAATGTCCCAGCAGAATAATTCGTCTGCTATACCCAGAGGTCGTCTTCATCCCATTCCCCCTCCCCCTCCCCATGGCCTATAGAAGATTTTTTAGGCTGCCCGTACTATTTTTTTGGCCTGCCCGGGGTTTCGTCTAATATGCGTCTAACCTAGGCGGAAACGCGTCTAGCGTCTTAGACGCTGCGTCTAGACGCAACCGTCTAAGACGCTAGACGCGTCTTCCGTCACATAGCGGTGGGGGATGTGGTGCTGCCGCCCTGGGCCACCGATGCCCATAACTTCCCCCCTGCTCCCCTGCTCCCCTCCTCCTCCCCTCCCATCCCCCTCCCATCTCCGTGCCACAGGAGTTCTACTCTCTCTCCACGTCCTCCCTGCCCAACTCCCAAGGACTGGACCTAGGAGTCAAGCAGGACGGGGTGCGGGTGGGGGATGTGGTGCCGCCGCCCTGGGCCAGCGACGCGCACGACTTCCCCCTGCTCCCCTACCCATGCCACAGCAGCACGCATTTTTAGTCCACTAAAATCACCCCACCTCCGTTCCTCCACCCTCTCCTCCTCTTCATCCCACAGGAGTTCTATTCGCTCTCCACGTCCTTCCTGCTCAACTCACAAGGGCTAGACCTAGGAGTCAAGCAGGACGGGGTGCCAGTAGGTGATGTGGTGCTGCCGCCCTGGGCAACCGACGCCCATGACTTCGCTGCCAAGATGCGCCAAGCACTAGAATGCCCGTAAGTTTCTGTTTCTCTTTGTGGCCCCTCTCCCCCCCTCTTCTTTTTTTCTCCAATTTGCTCTTCCTTTCGTTCTTTGCTTTCACCCATACAGAGCAAGTGTACCTCTGTCCTCCACTTCCCAACCCTCCTTCCCCCACCAGCTACGTGTCAAAGAGGCTGCACCATTGGATCAACCTGGTGTTTGGGTGCAAGCAGAGGGGCGAGGCGGCAGTAGAGGCAGACAATGTATTCCACCCGCTCACCTACGATGACATAGGCGCTCAGGTGCGTACTCCATATAAGATGCTCGTTTTACGCAATAATGTACGTAAGGTTCACCGTGTAGTAGTAGTGGTGGGTTGCCCTTTTGGTTTGTTGACCCCTGTGTGTGTGATGAGCAGCCTCTGTCTCATCCTTCGCTGCCCCTCCCACCACCAGGTGCTAGCATCAGTGGAGGGCGACACAGTGCAGCAGGCACTAGCAGTGCAGATGAGGGAGTTTGGCCGCACACCCAAGCAGCTCTCCTCCTCTTTCTCCCCCTGTCCTCTTTTCCATCCCCTCCTCTCTATTATCTCTGCTCTGCCCTCTGTCCCTCCCACCACCAGGTGCTAGCATCAGTGGAGGACGACACAGTGCAGGCGGCGCTAACAGTGCAGATGAGGGAGTTTGGCCGCACACCCAAGCAGCTCTTCACCACGCCGCACCCGCGCCAGCTGCGCAAGGAAGTGCGCGTCATTCACAGGTGGGTTGGGGGAGGGGACATCCACAGGTGAGGGGGGACTTAGAAGTGAAAAGTGGGTGCTATTCATAGTGTCTTTTCATGCACTGAGTGGTACGGGAGCAGTGGTATGGGATCAGGGCTGTCAAAAGCAGCTCTTCACCACACCGCACCCGCGCCAGCTGCGCAAGGAAGTGCGCGTCATCCACAGGTGAGGCAGTGTGTGCCCTCATGAGCCAACATGAGCCACATTTTGTAAAATGATTGGAACGAACAACATCAATTTGCACCTTGCTTCTATCATGAACCCCCTCTACTGACCGCCTTCCCTGCTTCCATTTTTGAGGCGCCTCAAAAGTCGTCTCAATGCACGTTGCTTCTATCATAAAACCCCCTCTACTGACCGCCTTCCCTGCTTCCCCTCATTACATCAGATACGTGCGCACAGCATCAAGAGCCATGCGGCTGCCATCACTCTTCCGCCAGTCAACAGTGGATTCACACATCGTGGTGCAGTCGCTCTCCACGCTCAACCGCGTCTCCACCCACCGCTCCCACCTCGACACCAAACTCAAGTCCCGCCGCGGGTACGCTTGCTTGCTGTCTTGAATGAGGGGAAGGGTGGGGTGGGAGCACCTGAGGAGGGTGGGTTGTGGTCAAGTGGCATGGTGGCTTAGGTGGTGTGGGACAAGTGTTGTGTTGTCTTGGGTCATGAATCGGCCAACACTATCCCACCCTCGCCCTCCCCTCTCTCTCCTCTCACCCCCCTCTCCCCTTTCCCACCCCACCCACCCCACCAGGTACAAGACTATCCTAATGGGAGCGCTGCACCCGCTGGTGGAGCTGGCGCTGCCCAATCGGTCGGTGTATCGGGCTATAGCCCAGCTGGCAGGCAGGGACCACTGTGGAAGGGTGATGTTGCGAGGTGTTGTGAGGCAGCCAACGCCACCTTCCCCCACTCTCTCTTCTCCCATTCGCCCCACCAGGTACAAGACTATCCTAATGGGAGCGCTGAACCCTCTAGTGGAGCTGGCACTGCCAGACCGGTCGGTGTATCGTGCCATAGCACAGGTGGCAGGCAGGGGGCAGGGCGAGATGTTGCGAGGTGTTGTGGAACGACCAACACCAACGCTCCTCTCTCTCGCCTCCCTCTCCCCACCTTCCCACCCCCACCCCCCCACCAGCTACAAGACGATTCTAATGGGAGCGCTGAACCCGCTAGTGGAGCTGGCACTGCCAGACCGGTCGGTGTATCGTGCCATAGCACAGGTCGCAGGGGGCGAGAAGGACAGGGAGGGGCAGGAGTTTGGGCTCGAGTGGCTTGAAAACACGGCCATGTACAGAGAAGCAGGTAGGGCGTGTGCAGAGAAGCAGGTATGTTACTCCTTGGTCGCAGGTAGCTGGCTGACAGCTAGATGGACAGGGAAGGGCAGGCTGGAGGGGCGGGACAGGGAGGGGCAGGAGTTTGGGCTCGAGTGGCTCGAAAACACGGCCATGTACAGAGAAGCAGGTGAGGCTGCTGCTACAACCCTCACACAGCCACGATGCTCCTTGTGTGTAGCCCCTTTTTCTTTGTCAAAGTCTCGTGTCTTTAGCTGAAAACGACTCAGATTTTTGGCTGTGCGAATCTCTCGCGACCTTAGCTGGATTATTCCCTAACCTCCACCTTCTAACCCCTCCCGCGCATCTCAAATTAATGCCCTCACTTTCTTTCACCTTCCTCCCACCTCTTTCTTGTCGCACCCCACTCTCCCCCCATCAGACATGCTTCAAATCTCGAGTGCCAAGTACCTGCTCCCGCTCATGCCTCTCGCCCTCTCCAAGCGCACTGACCAGAGGGCGGCAGCCATGCGGGCGGTTGCAGCCCTCTGCAAGCCAGACGCCAACCGCCAGTTTGTCTATTCTGCGGGCTTTCTGGAGCCCATCGAGGCAGCAATCGTGGGTGGATATGACCGAGTAAGTGAGTGAGTGAGTGAGTGGGTAAGTGAGTGAGTGAGCTCTCTGAACATGCTGTGATGTGGGAGGATATGAGTGGGTGAGCTCACCTGATTCTGAATACGCGATGCCATTGCCAAGCTCTCAATGCTGGTGCTCCCCCACTCTCCCCCTTCCCCGTCCCTCTCTTCCTCCCCCTGTCTCTCCCCACAATCAGGGCACCTAGGCAGCAGTGGATTCCATTCAATCGCAAAGCTCTCAGTGCTGCTGGAGGTGGTGGAGAAGCCTTGAGTCAACTCCCAAGTAATTTTCTCTCCTGTGCCCCCACTTTCCTTCCCCCTGCTCTCCCCTCCCCGTCTCCCCATGGCAGGGCACCAAGGCGGCAGTGGATGCAATCGCAAAGCTCTCCGTGCTGCCGGAGGTGGTGGAGGAGTTCAGTACAGCTGGCGTCCTCTCATTGGTCGACCTCCTCGTCATGAGCGACAACTCGCTGCAGGTACGCCCGTGTGTGTGCTCACTGCACCGCACTGCATCGCACCTCACCGCACCGCACCGTGCTTTGCCTCACTTCACACCACAACTTCCACGCTCCGCTCCGCTTTCACCTCCTTATGACCCCACTTTCTCCTCCCTTTCCTCCCGCCTGCTCCTCTCTTGCTCACGTCTTGCGCCACCTCTCCATTGTCCCTCCCTCTCCATTTTCCTCCTGCCTCTCCATTGTCCCTCCCTCTCCATTTTCCTCCTGCCTCTCCATTGTCCCTCCCTCTCCATTTTCCTCCTGCCTCTCCATTGTCCCTCCCTCTCCATTTTCCTCCTGCCTCTCCATTGTCCTCCCTCTCCATTTTCCTCCTGCCTCTCCATTGTCCCTCCCTCTCCATTTTCCTCCTGCCTCTCCATTGTCCCTCCCTCTCCATTTTCCTCCTGCCTCTCCATTGTCCCTCCCTCTCCATTTTCCTCCTGCCTCTCCATTGTCCTCCCTCTCCATTTTCCTCCTGCCTCTCCATTGTCCCTCCCTCTCCATTTTCCTCCTGCCTCTCCATTGTCCTCCCTCTCCATTTTCCTCCTGCCTCTCCATTGTCCCTCCCTCTCCATTTACCTCCTGCCTCTCCATTGTCCCTCCCTCTCCATTTTCCTCCTGCCTCTCCATTGTCCCTCCCTCTCCATTTTCCTCCTGCCTCTCCATTGTCCTCCCTCTCCATTTTCCTCCTGCCTCTCCATTGTCCCTCCCTCTCCATTTTCCTCCTGCCTCTCCATTGTCCTCCCTCTCCATTTTCCTCCTGCCTCTCCATTGTCCCTCCCTCTCCATTTACCTCCTGCCTCTCCATTGTCCCTCCCTCTCCATTTTCCTCCTGCCTCTCCATTGTCCCTCCCTCTCCATTTTCCTCCTCCATTTTCCTCCTGCCTCTCCATTGTCCCTCCCTCTCCATTTTCCTCCTGCCTCTCCATTGTCCCTCCCTCTCCATTTTCCTCCTGCCTCTCCATTGTCTCTCCTTTCTGGTGGCCCCTCTCTTGCCCCGTCGTGCCCCTCTCTTCCCCCGTTCTCCTGCCCTCTCGCCAAGCAGGCAGTGGAGACCCAGGCACTGGCATGTGAGGCGTTGTGGCGGCTGTGTGGGTTGAAGCGCCACCGCCTTCCGGCACTAGGCAGGGACGTGCTGCCGCGCCTGCTGCCGCTTGTGCGGGCGGGGGAGCACTTTACAGTGGAGCTGAGGGAAATGGCTCTCAGAGCACTGGCTGCTGTGTGCGTGGAGACCAGCAGCCAGGAGGAGGTGAGCCGTTGTTCACCTGTGTATGTAGTGTGTGTGTTAGCAAGAGCGGGACATGCATGTGCACGTGCTGCCGCGCCTGCTGCCGCTGGTGCGGGCGGGGGAGCACTTTACAGTGGAGCTGAGGGAAATGGCTCTCAGAGCACTGGCTGCTGTGTGCGTGGAGACCAGCAGCCAGGAGGAGGTGAGCCGTTGTTCACCTGTGTATGTAGTGTGTGTGTTAGCAAGAGCGGGACATGCATGTGCACGTGCTGCCGCGCCTGCTGCCGCTGGTGCGGGCGGGGGAGCACTTTACAGTGGAGCTGAGGGAAATGGCTCTCAGAGCACTGGCTGCTGTGTGCGTGGAGACCAGCAGCCAGGAGGAGGTGAGCCGTTGTTCACCTGTGTATGTAGTGTGTGTGTTAGCAAGAGCGGGACATGCATGTGCACGTGCTGCCGCGCCTGCTGCCGCTGGTGCGGGCGGGGGAGCACTTTACAGTGGAGCTGAGGGAAATGGCGCTCAGAGCACTGGCTGCTGTGTGCGTGGAGACCAGCAGCCAGGAGGAGGTGAGCCGTTGTTCACCTGTGTATGTAGTGTGTGTGTTAGCAAGAGCGGGACATGCATGTGCACGTGCTGCCGCGCCTGCTGCCGGTGGTGCGGGCGGGGGAGCACTTTACAGTGGAGCTGAGGGAAATGGCGCTCAGAGCACTGGCTGCTGTGGGTGTCGAGGCGAGCAGTCAAGAGGAGGTGAGTGGGAATGGTGACCAGTGGAGGTGGAGAGGGAGGGGAGAAAGCAAAGAGGGAGATGTGGTGTGAGTGTGTTTGTGGATGTGTGGGGAGGGTTGGTGCTGAGGGAAGAGGGAGTGAGGTAAGGGAATAAGCGAGGAATGGCATGCAGGAAGGCGGCATTTAATCGCAATAACTACCCTCTCACCCACACTCCCCTCCACTTTGCTCCCCGCCAATCAGATGCTTCCCCTCCCCTTAGCCCCCCTCCTCGTTTCTCTCCTTTTTCTTCCCACCATTAAGGTGACTCTTCTTCCCTCCCCATCCTCACCCAACTGCCCCCCTACCCCCCTTCCTCCCTCCCTCCCCCCTCCCCCCTCCCCCCTCCCTGTTCTCTCCACCAATCAGATGCTTCAAAGAGGAGGCCTCAAGGAGGTCCTCGAAATCTGCGCCATGGAGGCAGGAAACATCCTGGAAGCCGCCATCGCCGCGCTCGCCGCCCTCTGCCGCAATCCCGAGCTGCGGCTGCAAATCGCCGTGGAGGGCGGGCTTCGTCTCTTGTGCAACGCGTCCTGCGCTGCCGAGGCACAGATTCAGGAGGTGGCGGCGTCGGCGCTGCAGAGCCTGCTGGGCGACGGGGTGATTCTGAACGGCGTGATCAGGGAGGAGGGGCTGTGGTCGATTATCGCCATGGCCCAGTCGCAGCACCACGAGGTGCAACGATTGGCTGCCCGGGCCTTCTGGTATCTGGCCATTCACTGCGAGAACAAGCGACAGGTACGTGTGGCAGGGGGGGAGGATTTGAGGGGGTAGAAGGGTCTGTCTGCACAGATACAGGAGGTGGCGGCGTCGGCGCTGCAGAGCCTGCTGGGAGATGGGGTGATTCTGAACGGGGTGATCAGGGAGGAGGGGCTGTGGTCGATTATCGCCATGGCCCAGTCGCAGCACCACGAGGTGCAGCGGCTGGCTGCCCGGGCCTTCTGGTATCTGGCCATTCACTGCGAGAACAAGCGACAGGTACGTGTGGCAGGGGGGGAGGATTTGAGGGGGTAGAAGGGTCTGTCTGCACAGATACAGGAGGTGGCGGCGTCGGCGCTGCAGAGCCTGCTGGGAGATGGGGTGATTCTGAACGGGGTGATCAGGGAGGAGGGGCTGTGGTCGATTATCGCCATGGCCCAGTCGCATCACCACGAGGTGCAGCGGCTGGCAGCGAGGGCGTTCTGGTACCTGGCGATCCACTGCGAGAACAAGCGACAGGTGAGACGCAAGGGAGGGGAGTGGGGGGGGGGGGGGGTAGAAGGGTGTGTGTCTGCACAGATGCAGGAGGTGACGGGGTGATTCTGAACGGCGTGATCCGGGAGGTGGGGCTGTGGTCGATTATCGTCATGGCCCAGTCGCAGCACCATGAGGTGCAGAGGCTGGCAGCACGGGCGTTTTGGTACCTGGCGATTCACTGCGAGAACAAGCGACAGGTGCGTGTGGTGGGGAGTTGGGGGGATTAAGGGGTTTCAAGGGGTGTGAGAAATGGACGGGTGGAAGCAAGGGAGTGGCTGGTTACTCCAGTGTCGACTCACAGTCGTTCCCCTTCCATTCCCCTTCCCCCCCCCCCCATTCCTCCTTCCTCTTGGTCTGTTTTTCCCCTTTTCCCCTCTCCCTTTTCCCTCCTTTTCCCCCTCTCCCTTTTCCCCCTCCCCCGTCCCGCACCAGGTGATGGCATTAGGAGGTCTCCAATCACTTCTCGCGTTGGCAGCGCTGGGCGAGCTCAACCGGCACGCCAAGCTGCTGGCGGAGAGAGCAAAACAGGCCTCCCGTCTCTCCTTTCCCTTCACCCGAAACAAGAACCCCTGCGTCCCCCCACAGCACGCCTTCTGAGTCTCCCCTCTCCGCCCCAATTCCCCTCCCACCCCCCGTCCGCCCACCCCCCCAACACCCCCAGGTGATGGCGTTGGGAGGTCTCCAATCCCTACTAGCATTGGCATCGCTGGGCGAGCGCAACCGGCACGCGACGCTGCTAGCAGAGGAGGCGCTGCTGCGACTCTCAGAGGACCGCCACATCCACGCCCACCTCATGAGGGAGCAGGCCTTTTTAGCTCGCACTGCTGCCGCTGGCGGCGCTGCTGCTGGTGGTGCTGGTGCCGGTGGTGCTGGTGCTGCCGCTGGTGCTGGTGCTGCTGGTGGTGGGAGTGGTGCTGATGGTGATGGTGGGGGCAGGGGTGGTGATGGTGGCGGGGCTAGCAGCGGAAGCAGAATACAAGGAGGAGGCGCAGGAGCAGGAGCAGGAGCAGCAGGAGCAGCAGCAGGAGCAAGAAGGCCAAGCACGGGCTCGTCTCTGAGTTCCTCGTCAGGAGCAACAGCCGGCTCTCTCCTCCCAGGCCACTCAGCAGCAGCAACCCCCACCGCCTCCACCTCCGCCCCTTCCCCCTTCCCTCTCTCCTCCTCCGACTTTGAAGGCTTCTCAGGCTTCTCAGCCAGCAGCCCCAGCGCCCAGTCAGACCAGTCGTGGGCGTTGACTTGGTCAAACAGCAGCAAATGGGAGGTGCCGAGTCCAGGGAGAATGTCGATAGACAGTCACACTGTGTCGGTCGCGCCCTTTGTCCCCTCGTCGCTCTCTGTTGGGTCCTCTAGTTCCAACGCTGCTGCTATGGCTGCTGCTGCTGCTGCTGCTGCGGCTGCTGCTGCTGCGGCTGCTGCGGCTGCTGCTGCTGGTGGTGGTGGTGCTGCTGCTGGTGGTGGTGCAGAGGGCATGGCAGCAGCAGGCAAGGGGTTGGTGTATCAGCGACCCTTGACGCCCCCTTTTTGGACCAGCTCTGTTCTCTCTCCCGCCACCAGCTCGGCTGCTTTTGATTCCACCCACAGGCAGCATCCTGCCGCTTCCTCTTCTGCTGCTGCTGCTGCTGGTGGTGTGGCTGCTACTGCTGCTGCAGCTCCAGCTGCTGTTGCCACCAGTGACAGCCATAACAGCAATGTCTGATCCCTCCTCTCCAAACCTTACTCCTCCTTGTCACTCCCAACGAACGCATAGCAATGGCCATAGGCCAGTCCCTCCATCCGCCACTCCCTCCTGGCCTTGCCGATAGTTGAGCCACCTAGGTCCTTTTGTTTTGCCCCTCTTTCCAAGGAACCAAGCTGCTCCTTGTAATAAATGCCTCCTGTTTCTTCCCCACTACCCCACCCCCCGTGATTGTTCGTGCGTGGGGTTGTAAAGTTAGGGTGCATTCTTAGCATTAGATAACGCATTTGTTACTACAAGCTGACTCTGCTGGCTGCAGTCATGCACCCTAATCCATTAAATTCATTCTTTACTACTTGAATCGGGTCTCCATTGCTCCCACTGCTTGGGTGGGTTGGGTTGGGTTGGTACCTGTATGCAGCGAGGGCAAATCGAAACAGGGGATGTATAAAAGGTTACTCAACTCAGCTAACTGAAACGTTCTCATGTGTGTCAAGGATGAATAGAGCACATCTACGGTACACACGGAGCGGTTGCCAGTGAGTGATGTAGGCGCCATGCACATGCATGGGAATTCAACACGCAAACCACACTACGGTATATGCCATTCTGTTTATACTCAACAACTACCAGTAGCTTTTGATTCACTGCAAGAGCCGCCCTGAAAGCTCCCCTCAATGCTAGGCTTGGTGTTTCTAGTGACGGTTAGAGCGACTCAGCTGCCACCCAGGATGCACCTGCCTCTGAGCCACATGCTGTCTCCTCCACCTCTGCAGATCTCGATTTCTTGAGCAACGGCATCCCCCAGTGATGGTGTTGACATCACCTCACCAAAGGATCTCCTTGGTGTATCCAGTGACGGTTAGATTGACTCAGCTGTCACCCGGGATGCAGCTGTAGCTGAGCCACATGCTGTCTCCTCCACCTCTGCAGATCTTGAAGTCCCGACAGCAGCACCGATCGAATTCTCCATGGCTTCTATGCGGACCTGCATGGGTGCATGAACACATTATGTACACGTGAATGGATGAAGACATGAACGCATGAATGTATGAACGCATGAATGCATGAACACACGAACACATAAACACATGGACACATAAATGAATGAACAAATGAGTGCATGAACAAATGAGTGCATGAACAAATCAGTGCATGAACACATGAATGCATGAATGCATGAACACATGAATGCACGAACACATGAACAACAACAGAAAAGGGGAACAGCTGCTTGGGTCATACGAAAGTAACCTTGAGGTGTCTCAAAGACACTTTGAGGCACATGTCTGGCACATGTCTGGCACATGTCTGGCAAGCAGATTGTGGAAACATGCATATGTGTTAGTCAGATTCAGTAAAAAGAACCAATCACCAACTTCTGACAAGATATAGATCCTGTGATTGTACCTGCAGGTCTTTGATATAAGTGAGTGCAGACTCCACCATTGTGGCTGTATCGAGTTGTGACCTTGCAAGAGATGGGGGCAATGCCCTATGAAGCTTTTCCAAGCCTCTCCTGATACAATCACATTCAATACAAGAAGCAGATTAGTATAAGCCCACAGAAACAGTTCTAGGTCTCACCCAAATCCTACTCAGAAAGCCAAATGCCAAACAAGGTCATACAAAGCCAAATGCCCACCCCTGGGAGAAAAGAAGTAAAGAAAAGAAAAGAAAAGAAAAAGGCTTTGTAAGAAAAGGGCAAGTCACCTGATGCGATCGCGCCGGCACCTCTCCTTCATGCTCTTCGGCTGAATGCATCCCAGCCCCACCGCTTGCCCATCCGGTCGTGCTCGAATGCGCGGCCGCCAATCCTCAGGCGGTACTTGCAACGCCTCAAAAGCCGATAACTGCGGCGCCTTGACAGGCGATGCTTGCGACAATGAACCAACCAGGGGCGTCCACGTGGCAGGAGGCTCTTGCTGTGTCAAGGCGTCTCCTCTTTCCTTCGTATGACAAACACCAGGAGCAGCATTAGGTGGGCAGGAGGTACCAGGAGCAGCGGATGTGCAGCAACCACCAGGAGTGGTGATATGAGAGAAAAGAGGCCTTGGAGGCTTCTCAAAAGGCTCAGGCTCAGGCTCTCCCACCGTCAAGCCATGGCCTACTTCGCCCTTGTGACAAACCTTAGAGGCAGCATGCCAGCAGAAAGCACCAGGAGCTCGCTCCTTGATCTGCATCTGCCACTGTGCAAACCGGGCGGCATGTGCAGATTCTCGGATCAGATCGGGCGGCAGAGCCAGCCCTGCCAGCTCAGCGTGTGCCACCCAGCTGGTTGTCGCTGCTTGCTGCTGCTGCACCAGATGCTGCTGGGCCGAATTCACATCACCAAAGCCTGGGACAAACGCCATGATTTTCTCTGTTGCAGAGGCGCTCAGGCTTACAGGAGCCTCAAGAATCCTCAAATACTCAGGCTCTGAAGCAGAGGCGCTCAAGGCCTGTGCGATCCACCTCTCCAGTGCCACTTGCTGCCGCTGCTGTCGCTGCTGCTCTCCAAGCAGCTCAGCCGCGGCTCGTTCCAAAGCAGGGACATCAGACGGGCCCTTGGAACGGGAAGGAAGCGCTACGGTCTCCCGAGGCTGCATTGGAAAGTGAGGCGGAGCATATCCCAACGGCAGCATACTAGTGTCGCCTTGAAGTTGCCCCTGGCCGGCATTCTCATGCAAGACTTGAGGCGGCATTTGAGACGCCTCAAAAGACGACAGCATACTAGTGTCGTCTTGAAGTTGCCCGTGGCGGTCATTCTGATCCGAGACTTGAGGCGGCAGCTCGAGAGGTGGGCGAGGCTGGTCGTGCATGGCGGGCGGCGCACTGATGATGATGGGGTCTCCAACTCCAAGTAGCCCGTGGCGCCTCAACAGGTGAAATGACAGGTGACCTGCTTTCTGCCTTGACATGTCAGACTCCTCGAGAAGTGGGCGAGGGTGGTCGTGCATGGCGGGCGGCGCACTGATGATGATGGGGTCCCCAAGTTGCTCGTGGCGCCTCAACAGGTGAGATGACGGGTGATCTGCTTTCAGATTCGATATGTCAAACTCCTCGAGAGCTGGGCGAGGCTGGTAGAGCATGAAGGGAGGCGCGATGATGGGAGCTTCTAGTCGCCCATGGCGCCGCAACTGCTCCTCCAAGAGACCACTCTCCTGCGGACTCCGAGTCGAGATTTGAGGGTCCTCAGCATGCGGGCGCGGTTGGTCGTGCATGAAGGGCGGTGGGATGCTAATGGGGTAATCAAGTCGCCCTTGGCGCTTCAACTGCTCCTCCAAGAGACCACTCTCCTGCTCATTCCATATCTGCGCCTTTCGAGGCGCCTCCAAAGCAAGTCGCTGGCGCCGCAACTACTCCTCCAAGGGACCGCTCTCCTCCTCATTCCATATCTGCGCATCCAAAAAGGTTCGAGGCTCGAACACGCTGGTTTCACTGGTAAGCTCTTGCCCATGCACCCCATACAGCAACGCCTTGAAGCTCCTATAATCTTGCCCAATGCTGGAGTCCGGGCCATGGCGCCCCATGATAAACTCCCCCAAGCGGCCTTCCCCCGGCAGCTTGGTTCCTCCTGATGCAGCGATCCGCCCATATCCGGCGAATGTGGGCTTGTTGCGCGTCTCAAAGAGGGCTCCAATGCTTGGGTTCTCGCCATGGCTCCCCATCAACTCGAACTCCCCCAAGCGGCCTTCCCCCGGCAGCTTGGTTCCTCCTCCTCCTCCTACACCACTCGATCTTGAAGGGCCGAATGCCTCAAAGAGGGCTCCAACGCTGGGGTTTTCACCACAGTGCTCCAACACCACCCCCAAGCGGCCTCCCCCCGGCAGCTTGATTCCTTCTCCTCTTCCTTCAGCACTCGATCTTGAAGGGCCGTATGACTCAAAGAGGGCTCCAACGCGGGAGTCATCGCCACAATGCTCCAACACCACCCCCAAGCGGCCTCCCCCCGGCAGCTTGGGTCCCCCTGAAGCAGCGATGCATCTCAAAGAACCATGATTTCCGGCAAATGTGGGCTCGGTGTGCGTCTCAAAGGGCCAGTTGCGACAAGTTGATCCGGAACGCGGCCTTGTTGCTCCATCTCTCCGGGACGAGCCTTCTCTGGTTTGCTGAAGAGGTGGTTCCGATGGATGGGTCGCTCCTCACTGAAAGGTCCTCACTGAAAGGTCTTCACTAAAAGGACTTCACTGGAAGGTCTTCACTGAAAGGTCTTCACTGAAAGGGAAGTTATCCCTCTTGGTGTGGTGCTAGTCGAATGACAAGAGAGGCCAATCGCTGGAAGCCAGAATCAATGAATCCGCTCAGCTCAACCCGATATTGTATGGTAACGGAGTGAGGAACAGATAGATTTGGAAGAAAAAGGGTGCAAGGGTAGTAGATTCCACTCCTCACTCCGAGGGAAAAGGTCTCCCTCCGAGGAAAAAGGTCTTTTTCCTAGGAAAAAGTCCACTGGCGCTCAGATTACACGTGTGTGGTAACATCAGGCCCGCATCAAACCCGCTACTATACAAAGGAGAGAAGTGAGGGGCTGGCGTGGCTGGCGGTGATCGTACGTGAAAAGAGTGCTCATCATGCCTTACTATGGGAGATACTACCACCGTCAGCGCGAGGCTGCTCCACAGTCCAACTTGGAAACCTGTTTCAATATGGGAGTACTACTATGATGGTAGAGTTTTCAAATCTTCTGTCAAGTTGACACACCAAACTCCACAGGCATGACACTGTGCGTTGATGCGCGACGAGGTTCGCCGCATGCTTTCGAGCACCGTTGAAGCGAATAGGGAGCCATGGCGAGGCTGACGCACGAAGCTTATCCGTCTCTATCTAACGAGCGAAGAATGCCAACTTAACTTGAAACGAAGGGAAATTTGTCACTTCCGACACGCGCGGGGGGATCTAGTACTAAGGACGAGGAGGAATCTAAAGGTGCGTCCGACGCGTTTCATTCGCCCTGCCAGCCAACGAGGAGGAGTTTCCAGCAAGATAACGTCTGGCAAGCAGACGTGATTGGCTGTCACGTGGAAGGTTAGAACAAATTAGGACCAACCTAAAGGCAGCCTGACAGAGAATAACACATTGACACGACTACTGACCAACCCCGAGACTTCCTCCTTGCCGTGCTGCCCTTTGCTCCCGCCTGCTTCAGGTGCCCCTTCTACTTCCGTCATCCCCGCGTCATCCCCTTCTAATCCCCGCGCTTCCCACCGCGTCATGCTGCGCTGGCTTGTGAGCTGGCGGAGTCACGGCAGGATCTAGGGGAGAATGCCAGACTGGATAGGTCATGGATCGCCTCTCGTTCGCGGCGAGAGCAGGGGGCGACGACAACCTGTTGCCCTTGCCGACGTCACCCTGAAGCCGAAGCCTGAGTTGGCGGATTCACGGCATGATCTAGGCGAGAATGCCCGACTGGAGCAGGGGGAAGAGAGAACCTGTTGCCCCAGCAGCCCGAACCCCAAGCCTGAGTTGGCGGATTCACGGCATGATCTAGGTGAGAATGCTGGGTCGAGAATTGCCCCTTCGTTTGCGAGCGCGGGGGGAAAGAGAACCTGTTGCTCTCGCCGACGTCACTCCGAGAGCCACCGAGCTGGCGGATTCATGATTTAGAGGAGCATGCCTGAGCGGGGAAGGAGAGGGCGGCGCAGTGGGAACATGTCGTTTTCCGCCATGCCAGTTTCGTCAGTTATAGGTCCGCGCTGCGCTTTATAAACGAGTGGTTGAGTAAGCGGCTGATTTGGGCGGCACTGCGTACCCTAATTAATGACCTCGACATCACTCTCCTCATGAGCTTGTCGCCTCCTTTCCAGTCTAGATATCAACAAGGAGTAACCGCTGATGCTGCTCAGTTGCCCAAACTCTGCCGTGCGTGCGATTGAGGCCCCCCGCCATTACCCGTTCAGGCCCTTACTAGCAATCTCCCCTCACTGACGAACAACTCCTGGCCCGCTACCCGTAGAAAACGCCGCCTTTCCTACCAGATATGCTTAGCTATGTGGGCTAAGAGGAAATGTGGTAAATCAGATTACAAGTATCAAGGAAGAGAATGGGAAATCAGTCGGGATCTGGTCTTCTTGAACTGTAGTTGCAATAAAGAGTACATGACAGGAAAAGGTCGCTGGCTTGGCGGCCTGTTGCTCAGTAAAGGACAGCCGCGACAGTTCGCTATAACAAGGTTGCTGGGGATGCCCTTAGCTATTGCCTAAATCTTAGAAACATATCCTTTCATCCAAGCTGTTCCTATGGGCCAACGTACAACTAAAATACTAGAAACGGATCAAATTTCTTATCACAAACAACATAAACGGGGCCATCTGCACCGTAACTTGAGAAATTGACCTGGGCTGTCGGGTCTTCTAGAAGCCGGGTGGGAAAGGAAACCTTGGACAGGGGATTTGTGGATATACAAAGCAGACTTGTGCTGGCAAGATGCCCATTGTGGCATGCTCCAATCAGATTATGCATAACTCGTGAAATGTGATGCCAACACTTACCAGCACTAAAATATCTGCACCAATATACTGGCTACCGTGGATATGCTGAACTATACAAAAGGCTAAGTTGCATGCACAACAAACTTTTACCCCATCAGAATATAATGACACGATAGGTACGGTACCAGGTGAAACTTTGCCGTGCAGTGTACCTGATATTTACAGATATCTGAAGTGCCTGTAAACGTACTGGTGCTACGTCCACATCAGCAACAGGAGGAGAAACTTGGCAGCGAGAAACTTAGAGCACTCTGGGGAAACGCAATGAAATTGCAGAGATGGCTAAATCGACTGCAGCTGAGCCACATGCCGTCCCCTTCCAGTGCAGAAATTCGTGTGGCTTTCGAGTCGACCCAAGAGTCGCCCTGACTGCTCCGATTGAAGCAGAGCTTGGTGTCTCCAGAGACGGCTAAATAGACTCAAAAGTCACCCGGGATGCGCCTGCGCCTGCAGCCGAGCCACATGCTGTCTCCTCCACTGCAGATCTCGATGACCCAGCGGCAACACCGATCGAATTCTCCATGGCTTCAATCCGGACCTGCATGGGTACATAAGCGCGGAAACACATGAACAACAGGTCCTTCATTCAGCAGGCAGGGAGTGAACTTGAGGTGCCTCGACGACTGTCTGAGCCTTGAATGGGCGGTGGGACATATATGTTACACACTGTACGCAGATTGAGGATTTATGCCTACTTGGTAGTCACAGCCAGTGATAGTAAACAAGTCTCAAAGTTGACTGCGATTTTTTTGAGATATTTGAACCTAAGTGTACCTGTAGGGACTCTCGTCACCGCCTTTTCAGTCTAGATATCAGTACACCTATCCTGCGATAATTCCACACCCCCTATCTTCACGCCCTGGGGTACCTACCCTCGAAAAAGTCTCATTTCGAAGGTAGTTAGGGACGATCGCAAGAGTTTCGAGGGTATAAGACACGACCTCAATGAGAGTTTAACACTCTAGCTTTAAGGCACTGAGAATTTTGCCCGCTCACCCTGATTACAAATTTGAGTTTCGAATAGCCAGAACGCTGACGGTTCTTTACTGATAGACCCGTAGTGTCAGGGTGTCCGTCTCATCGATCCTCAAGCCGTATAGGGTGTCTGGCAAAAACGAGGGTAGGGGGTGTGGAAATACCGGAGAACAGGTGTATGCTGCTCCATCGGAACCGCTAACTCACGAGGGCACAACGAGGCACCGCCCGCACCTGAGGAAATCGTAAGCCTCCGCCGTTCACTCCTTGCGGTCGGCATTGGGTAACACGCAATTCCCCACTCCGCAACTGTGATGTCCGAGAGGTATGTGCTTTGCAAAGTTGACTGCGAGAATGGTGAATCAAATCAATTCCAAGGAACCGAGGGAAAAGAGCGGAGGGTGTTAGAAAATTCCAAGGGGGGACCATCTGGTTTTCCTGCGCCACAGGGTATGTTGACTGGAAGGGGTTGCTGTTTTCCCTACCTGTTGTGCTGTTATGGACAGCCGCACCAATTCGCTATAAGGCGGGTTTGCTGGAAAAGAAAATGTCGTTACCAGCAAGACCGTAGGGTCCTCAATACACAGACTCAAAACAAAGTCTCACCGTAGCCCCTGTTTCATCCAAGGATTTACTAGTCAACCAAGCAAAGTAGGCTTACGAAATCATTGTTAACCCTGAAAATAACCGCTGGTAAGTACAATCAAGGGATATATACCATTGAAATAGAGGACATGCTTGCAGCCATCCACCCACTCCATGCCATCCATATCTTGCTACTGGTACTTCCACTCATAGCGTGGAGAGTGCAGTGCAGTGACGACTAAGTCGATGTAGCTGCGCCACATGCCGTCTCCTCCACTGCATATATTGGTTTCTCCAGACCAGAGGCTTTAAAGTCAACACAATAGTCACCCTAGATGTGCTCTGCGCCAGCCATCCCACAAGCTGTATCCATCACTGTAGATTTTGATGTCTTGACGACGGCGGCTTCCCCCAGTGATGGCGTTGACATCACCAAAGCATCTCCTTGGTTTCTCCAGGGACGGTTAAACTGACCCTGAAGTCACCCTACATGCGCCTGCGAGGTGATTTTTGAGTCGACTCAAAAGTCACCTCCTTGGTTTCTCCAGGGACGGTTAAACTGACCCTGAAGTCACCCTAGATGCGCCTGCGCCTGCAGCTGAGTGCTGTGTTGTCTCCTCCACTGCAGATCTTGATGCCTTCACGACTACATCTCCTGCGTTCTCCAGGGCTTGAATTCGGGCCTGCATGTATGAAATGAACATTGAAAGGCAAAAATTATGTCAGAAAAAAAAAAGTACTTTAAGTCTTCAAAAACTACTCGAGAAGCCCCTTAGACACTGGAGGAGCATTAAGTAGCAGTGGCAGATGGCTGGCACACAGATTGCGGAGACATACATATGTGTCAGTCACATTTAGTAACAAGACTCACGATAATCTACAGAAGTTATAATACCACTACAAATTTTGGAAACTGTGAGTGTACCTGCATGTCTTTTATGTGAGTGAGTGCAGACTCCACCATTGTGGCTGTATCGAGTTGTGCTCTTGCGAGAGATGGGGGTAATGCTCGATGCAGCAGCTCCAGGCCTCTCCTGATACAATCACATTCGATAAAAGCACCTCATTTCAATAAGGTCAGAAAAATTGCATCACGTTTCAACCAGAACGCCCATAGAATTCAGGGCTCACTGACAAACCAAACGAAGAAAGAGAGAGAAAGAGAAAAAATTAGGTGAAGGGGGGAAAGACCAATAGCAACGAGAGTCAAACAAGGAAGAGATGGGGGGGGTGGGGGGGAAGAAGAGAATAGGTACAGTAGTGAACGTGAAGAGGGGGGGAATGGAGGAGGGTTGGGTGGGTGGAGTGGGGGGGGAGGGACAGAGGAGGGACAGAGGCTGGACAGGAGAAGGGGGAGAGAAGGAGCGGAGAGAGGGGGAGGGGGAGTGGGTGTTGCAATAGAGTGGCCAGTCACCTGATGCGATCGCGCCGGCACCTCTCCTTCATGCTCCTCGGCTGAATGCATCCCAGCCCCACTGCTTGCCCGTCCAACCGCGCTCGAATGCGCGGCCGCCAATCCTTAGTGAGTAATTGCCGTGACTGCAAAGGTGACGTGTGTGGTGCCTTGAAGGGCGATACTAGCGATGACTGTAAAGGCGATTGTTGTGGAGTCTCAAAAACGGACTGGTGCTTCGCGTCAAGTATACGATGCCGCCAGTCCTCCTCCTCTCTCCGTCTCTCCTCCCCTTTCCACCCCTCCCCCTCCCGTCCATAAGTGCTGGGCGAGAAGAAAGCTGTCAGCGGGTAGGCAGCAGCAGCGGCCACAGAAAGAGCAGCGTCAGCCGAAGCAGAGACAGCAGCAGCACCAACAGCAGCAACAGCAGCGCTGGCAGCAGCAGGAGGGGTTGCTGGGGAGGCTGAAAGCGAAGCATTCTCAGGTAAGTTGGGGCTGCCTAGGCCGGTAAGCTCGCCTGCAGATGCATGCCGCATGCTGGCTCTGCCTTGTCCCTCCTGCCATGCCTTTGCCTGCCATGTCCCCTCCTGCGATGCACAGTTCTGAGGCACTTCAAAAGCAGGCTCCTGCATCCCTCCCTCTTGCATCCTTCCCTCCTGCATCCTCCCCTCCTGCATCAACCCTCCTTCCAGCAACATTCCTTCGTCCGGACTCACACCCCCCTCCAGCTCAGTTCCCTGCATCCCCCCCAGCAACCCCCCCTGCTTCTGAGTCACACCCAAGCAGGAACCCTCCTTCTGCCACTCCGGAAAAGGTAGAGTCCGTTTCCCCCCTTCATCCTGCAGCAGGAAAATCTCAAGACCCTCTTTCAGAGTCCGCTTTCCCAAATCATCTTGCACTCGCAAACTTTCACAATTATCTTGCAGATTCGGTGACCCTGTCTCAGCCTCCTCCTGCATCTGCATCTGCCACTGTGCAAACCGGGCGGCATGTGCAGATTCTCGGATCAGATTGGGCGGCAGAGCCAGCCCTGCCAGCTCAGCGTGTGCCACCCAGCTGGTTGTCGCCACTTGCTGCTGCTGGACTAGAGTGGCCGATGCTGCTGCATCTCTGTCGGTAGTAGTAGTGACAGTTCCAGAGCCTGTGACAACCATGCTCACTGTTCTGGTTGCTGCATCTTCATCCATGGTGGTGTTGACATCACCAATCACCATGCTCTCTGTTGCGGAGGCACTCAAAGCCTGTGTGATCCAGCTCTCCACTGCCACTTTCTGCTGCTGCTGCACCTGCTGCTGCCGCTGTCGCTGGTGCTGCCGTTGCAACAGCTGCTGCTGCTGCTGCTGCTGCTGCCGCCGCTGCTGCTGCTGCCGCCGCTGCTGCTGCTGCCGCCGCTGCTGCTGCTGCCGCCGCTGCTGCTGCTGCCGCCGCTGCTGCTGCTGCCGCCGCTGCTGCTGCTGCCGCCGCTGCTGCTGCTGCCGCTGCTCCTCTTCCAAAAGCTCAGTGACGGCTCTTTCCAAAGCAGGGACTGTTGAAGGATCTTTTGAACGGGACAGAAGAGCCACGGGCCCTTGAGGCTGCGTCATCGGCAAGCGAGGAGGATGCATAAGAGGTGCCACAGTGGAGTCTTCAAGCTGGTCGTGTCGCCTCACCAGCTGACCGGCTGTCTGATTCGAGATTTGAGATTCCTGATTCAGGATTTGAGGGTATTCCAGAAGCTGACGAGGCTGGCCGTACATGAAGGGCGGCATGCCGATGGGGTTCTCAAGTCGGCCATGGCGGCTCAATAGGTCCTCCAAGAGCCCACTCTCCTCCTGATTTGGGATTTGAGGGTCTTCCAGAAGCGGACGAGGCTGGCCGTACATGAAGGGCGGCATCCCGATTGGGCTGTCAAGTCGGCCATGGCGCCTCAATAGCTCCTCCAGGAGACCACTCTCCTCTTGACTCAATATCTGCGCGTCGTAAGTGAACGTCGATGTCTGAGGTTCGCGCATCAAGCTGGCTCCAATGGTGCCACCAGTGGGGTCTTGTCCAAGCCGCCCAAATACAGAAGTCTTTGAGATACCGCATTCACCAACTGATTTGACCTCTCCTGCTCCACAACTCGAGTGGGAAGCAGAAGACCCGTATCCGCATGCGCTTTTGCTAGGTGCCGCAAGAAGAATGGCTCCAATGCCCGGGTCCTCGTTACGATGCGGCTCCAGCAACTCCCCTACACGGCTTTCCCCCAAGAGCTTGATTCCTCCTGATGCAGGCCTCATTCTTGACGGCCCATGTCTCTCAACCAGCGCTCGCATGCTGGAGTCCTCGCCGAAACGTTCCAGCAACCCCCCTGCACGGCCTTCCCTCAACAGTTCGGTTCCTCCAGATGCAGCGACCCATCTAGAAGGTCCATATGCGGCGAATGCGGGCTTGTCGTGCTCCTCAAAGAGCGCTCGCATGCTGCCAATGGGGTCCAGCTCCTCGCCATGGCGCTCCAACAACTCCCCCAATGGGCCAGCTGCTTCGAGTTGAAGTTGATCCAGACAGCGACCTTGCTGATCCAGAACGCGACCTTGCTGATCCAGAACGCGACCTTGCTGATCCAGAACGCGACCTTGTTCGTCCATCTTTGCAGGGTCTAGTACTCGCTATGTCTCTGGTTTGCTAAGGAGGCTTCGCCTGAAGATTAATGCGGGGTATTTCTTGTTCTTGAAGTGATGCGACTCGACTAAGATAAAAGAAGCGGCTCCGGTGGTTCGGAGCGGGAATAAACGTCTGACGGATTTGTATAGGGTTGAATGGGAAGAGGCGAATGGGTGGCATCAACTCCTGTCTCTTCCTCCGCTCATATCCCACGCGCGTGGTAAAACGAGGGAGGCACGAAGCCGCTGCCACGATGGAAAAGTGATAAGCGGGGGGGCACCGGGGCTTCTGGCAACCATCTTGCGTGAGAAGGTTGCCCATGGAAACCCCGCAATGTAAGACAAGCTCCCACCGCCTTGAGCCAACCTCCCACTGTCACGAGGCAGCTTCACAGTCCAAGTTGAACTTGGAGGCTCGATTTAAACGTGAGACGAGGTTTCTGAGTCGCAGCTCAGCTGTACAGGCTGTACAGTCTAGATCTGTCGCCCAGCGATTTGATCGTACTACTAACTTATTTTCCCCAAGCCGCCTTTCGACAGGAAGTGCAGCAACTTCTATCGTGGCGAGGCTGCACGCTTATCGTCTCGATCAAACGAACCATATGTCGGGATTCCGAGTTGACATGCCACATCGAACCAATTTGACTTGGCGTCGAGCGACAACGCGCGTCGTCTCTCACACCCAAGCGCATTGGTGGAAGAAAATTTTGGAATACCCATCCTGCCTTGCTCATTCGCCCTGAGGTGGAAACACGTGAGTGTGGGTGGGAATGCACGGGCGCGCGATAACGTTTTGCAAGCATGCTGACGGGCTGGCACGGGATTCGACGGGGAAATCGGAAGGGCCGAAGGGAGCTTGTTAGTTATCGACACGTATTAAGAAGCCTAACAACCATCTTTATGTTTGCTGTGCTACTCTTGCTCCCTCCTGCCTTTCCTGCTTCTCCTGCTCCTTCGAATCGCCTTGTTGATGCTGTAACCCTGGTGGCTCATCTGGTAACATTCGTGGTGCCTCTTTTCTCCGCCTCCGGCTCTTTCCGCCACTCCGCGGTATGAGTTGGCGGAATCATAACTCCAAGAGTGCCAGCGCGGGGAATGGAGCGCGGCGGCGCCTGTTCGGCCAATGCTTTCACCCCTCTCCAGTGTGACGCTCTCCTCGCAGCTCTCTAGAAGACTGACGAGTATGGGTTTGGCCTGGGCGGCAAAGAGTAACAAAATCTGAGTTTGACAACTTTCAGCTGTTGTCGTCACGTCCTCAGTCTAGATATCGATCTTGTTACCGCTACCCAATGTTCCGTCAGAGCCGCTAACGTACAACAGATCGCCGACCAGCCGCGCATACGACTGAGGACGTCGTCGGCTGCAATACCGCATCTTCCTTTACTCCTTCCGGCCCATACAGGCAATCTCTCCTCGCAAGCAGTCGTCTTTCGGCAAGCCCAAGAGACTCGCCCCTCCCTCACCAGCGAGTTCTTGCAAGCCAAGCCTTTTGTCCTTCTGTTGTTGGTGCCAGCTGGCTAGGCTCCCTATTTCTCTTCAATGCGTTTCTTCACCCGCCTGTTAGGCTACGAAGCTAGTCAAACCCTAAGCCGCCTAGGCAGGTTCCCCCTATACGACTCAGCTTCGTTTCCAGGTAAGTTTATGCTATCGTTTTTCTTTTTCTTTTCTACAGCTCCCGTTTTTACGTGGCTACTCCACACCCCGGCTCTACACCAGCAGGATAGCCCCCCACTCCCCGCCCCCTTCTATTTTTCGACTACAATTGGCCACTCCCTCCCCCAACGTATCACTGGCGGACTCCCTCCCAGCCTCAACGCGCCACGTCAACCTTCGCTCCAGGTAAGTGCAACCCTCCCCTTCTCCTTCTCCCCCGTGGCATTTCGCGCTCACTGCAAATTTCTGCTCCATCCTCAGCGCAAGCTAACCCCAACTTCCCTCCCTTTTTCTGTGCGCACTCACCCAATCTCACTCCACTCCCTCGCCTCATCCCCGTCCCCTCCCAGGAAACTCGGCTGCGTTGTTTCCAAGCCCTCACCAACAGATCGGCCTCCTCCTGCCAAGCTGTCCCGTTCTGCATCGAACACCAAGGACTTCCTCGACAAACTGCAATCGCCAAATACAGCTAACCTCCCCTCCCCTCCCGTTTTTCTGGTCGTTTTTTTCCCTGCCTTCGTCCCGCCTTTTTCGCCTACGTGCTATCTCCTCTTGCCTCTGTACTTCCGTGCCTTCCCAAGCGCCACCACTACCGGACCTCCCGTCCCCCCTGGCATTAATGCTGCATTTTTCCCGCTTTCCACTCAAACGCCGCCTCCGGCAGAGCCCTCTACATGGCTCAGAAACTTGGCGCGCCGCCTAGGCTGCCAGTTTCGTTTCTCGCGCGCGAGCGCTTGGACCCTCGAACGGTCCCGGGTTTCGGGCTGCCAACTAGGCGCCCACTCCCGCCTCTGGCCCTCAATTTACTCGCCACGTCGCCACGCTTCCCTCTGCCTACGCGCTGGCCATGCACTTCCAGGCATTCCCCTTCCCGTCCGCCCTCCCTCCAACCCTTCCCAACGAGCCGCCAACAGAGCCTCGCCTCCACGGCGTCACGCCCGTCCGCCTCCGCCGCGTCTCTGCCTCCCCTCCGTCCTGACGCTCCCCCGCGGGCGCTCCCTCGCTCCCTCCCTATTTAACCCACCTCAGCCTTCGTCAATCACTCAACTCTCTTCCCCCAGTCCCCTACGACTCCTTTACACACTCTTCTTTATGGCTGAGCAGGTTTTCAACCCCGATCTGACGATGTCCGCCGCTGAAGAGGAAACTATCGCTGAAACCGGCGACGATCTCTTGGTCGACGACCTTCCCGAAGGACTTATCGATGACCTCGCGAGCTCCCCTGACCACCCTGCTGCGAAGAAGCCCTGCATGGACCCCGGAGCTGGCCCTGCTAGCTTCAACTCCCCCTCTACCTCCTCCGATTCGGCGCTGGCGCAGCCCGCGCCATCTCCCGTGCTCCTCGCTGCTGCTGCCGCTCCCACGGCGACTCAGCAAGGCCCTGCGCCCTCTCTGGCAGCAACAGCTGCCGCCCCCAACGGCCCGGTTCTTCGCGCTGCTGCCTACGCAACGGTCGCCTCCGGCGCTAACCCGGCCCCCGCGCTGCCCGCCTCGCTCTTTGCCTCACCCGTGCCCGGCGGACCCCCCCGCAACCTCCGCCGCGCGCGCACTTCCGCAGCCACCCCGATGCTCCTTCCCCTCCGCCGCCGCGTGGTAGTCACAATCCTCCTCCCGGAGGCTATTTTGGAGTCGCATCGCACGGAAATCCTCGCCGGGATCAACGCGCAGCTATGCGGCTTCATGTTTGATTCGGGCATCATCCCCCCCTTCGAGCACACCGTTGGCGAATCCCTCCGCGTGGCTCGCCACGTGTACGGCCGCCTGCTTTTCTCTTGGCCGTCGCAGGAAGATGCTGCGGTTTTTCGCAAGATTTTTCCCCTCATGCTGAAAATCTCCAACTCCCGCCCCGTCATGTTGAAGGTTTTTGTTGATCGTTCTGAAGTTTTTACCGCGGCAAAGGCAGCCGGCGCCCCTACCCTTTCCATCCGAAACGTCCCCCTGGAGATCGATCCGGAGGAGCTTCGTGCCTTCCTCCTCGGATCCACCGAGGAGGACGGTTCGCATTGGCTCGCGGACCTGATTGAATTTCACCGCGCTTCCGATCCCTACGAGAACACCTTTTTCACCCACCTCGCAGGGCTCCCGGTCGCCACCCCCGATGACCCGAATTTCGAGCGTATCCCGTCCGAAATCCTGCTGGAGGAGAACAAACCAGCTATGCTGCTCAACTTCTCCTGCCACGTGTGCACGCTGTGCGGCAACAACCACCGCGCACCGGACCACGAGACTTTCGCTGCCCGCCGCCGAGGACGCCTCACGAACAAGAACACAATCTCAATTGCTCAGCTGCAGCAGGCAAATGGTACGAAATCTACTCCTCTTGTCTTAGCCGCAACAATCCTCTCTTCTTGTTGTCACTGCACGCCCTTAGCCTGCCTCCGTTGCCCTCTCATGTGCTCCTCCGCTACCCCCCATCCACTCACCACTCCCCCCTCGGTCTTCCACCTCCCCATCACGCAACTTTCTTGCTCCCATCCAACACCCGCGCTCTCCCCCCGCTGTCCTCCCCTCCCTAAGATCCCCCGCCCCCCACTGCCTTGCTGTCCCCCCCCCGCAAGGTCGTCTGGGCCCCTGCCACCCCTACTTTCATTCTGCCCCTACCCACTCCCCTCGTTCCCTCCCTTCTCACCCCTCTCCCTGTGCCAGCTGCCCCCCCTTACCCTGACTTCCCCTCCATCACCCACCCCTCCCTTACAGCTCCCCACCCCCCGGCCTTCCATGTTGTGGGGCTCCCACTCAACCCCTCTTCCCCCCCACGCCACCCCCCCCTCCCTGCTCTTCCCAACACATGCAGGCAAGCCCCCCCCCATGGACGCTCAGTCCCTGTCACCTCTGTACCCTCCTCTCCCCCCCCTACAGTCGGGACTCCGCCCATCCTCACGAACCCCCCATATCCCCACTCCCCCCACGCAATCTCCGTATCGCGAAATCCCTTTTTCACCCATGTTCCCCCACCCCCTGCCCCTTCCCACGTCAACGCCCCCCCACACAACACTCCTGCCCCTTCCCCCTCTGAGGACAGTACCCCGCCCTCCCACAAGCTCGCCCCCCACCCGCACCCTCCTCCCACTAGCAGATTGGACCCTCTCACAGTTCCCCCCTTTCTGCCCCCTCCCGACACTCCTCCCATGGTCCCTCCAGAGGGCGGGCCCCCTGCCCAACCCTATGCTAGCATGGAGACGCTCCCCCCCCCCTGCCCTATCCCCCCCTTTTTCAACCAGCACTCCTCTTTGCTCCCCCCACCCCCCGACTTCCCCACACCTCCTCTCCCCCGATTCCCCTCCTCTCCCCCCCTACCCTCAATCTCGCCTCCCCCCCCCTCCCTCACTCCT